TTTCAGATCTTTCAACCTTAAATCCTCCAGATTCTTAGATTCAACAACTGAAAGTGCAGCATCTATAGCAGGTTCTGAAAAAACATCCTTCACCACATTCCAGTACTCTTTTGATCGCAGCAGATTCTCCATCACAAGACTCCAGTGATCGTAATCACCATCAAACTTTGGGATGCACACCTGTTCAAAACTCCCATTCTCACCCATCTCAGATCCCTCTTTTGCCTGAGAATTTCACTCACCCCTTTTAATCAATCTCTCTCACTATCACTCGTGTTTCCCAGATGATACCCCTGGCCTGCAATCAGACTTGCAGGACCTTTCACTCAACACCACGATTCAATCTCTCACTCTATTGCTTGGTTACAGTTCGCAGAGCTATGATACCACAATGTAAACTCTTTGGAGCAAACTGACCGTTTATTAACTTGGAAATTGAAAGGATTAAATACAAGAGCCTTTGACCTCTGACCTCAGCCCTCAACTCAACCCACTAACCCCGTGATTCCAGCTCCCATGACTCAACTAACAACCTATAAATCAGCTAACTTAACAACCAAGCATTCTGCAATGCTTAAGACTCAGATGGACTCGATTACACTAAAGAGAAATACAAGGACTAAAAATGAATCTAAGACAGACTGGACTCTCAAGTAAAACGACAGCTGTTTTACTCTCTTATTTTAAACTTAGACTTCCCGCATCTAGCCTTCAATCCTTCTCCTACTCGGATTCGGATTCACCACCCTTCTTCTGCGTGCACTTCAGCTCACAATTGTAATGACTCAAATCTTAGATACTAGACAAACTATTGAACCCTGAATTATTATATGATAATTAGTATTTTTCGGCCGACTTTCACGTCTTATTTCTTTAAAGAACATACGGCCACCTACTCCTTTCAAATGAATAGGATTCATCGTGGTCGAGATAGTAGGTAATTTTATTTTGTTGATTGCGAAAGGCAGCCTTGATTTATACTAAAAAGTAAAAAAGTCATATATGTACAATACTAAACGTTGTCATAATTGGGGGCCTTTTCTTCTTCTCCTTTAGTCCTTTTGTGGCGTAGAATTTAGTGTTCTTGGCCTTGAGCCGTCAATGACTCTCCAGCTGGTTATGTAAAACAAAAGATACATTTTGTATATGGCACACATAAAAGACAAACACATGTTCTTTAATTGACTCAAAGGGGATTTTGGCGCACACTCTATTTTAATAACTCGTTTGATTGTTAAACATCTATATGAAGCAAGAGCACGAGGAATGGCAATGGGCAGGTACGGGCGGGTTTCTTAGTACCAAGAACCGCCTTGTGACAGGTCGGGTAGTTTATCAAGGGTTGGTGCAGGTCGATCCAATGAGTATGCAATTTATATGAAAAATATTAGAAATATTCGTTATTTTATTATAAGACAAAGAAAACAAACAATATTATGATCAATATAGTTAAATTATTAGAGAAATTGAGATTTTCACTAATTTATAACTTTATTATCGCTAAAATATGATGTAATAAAAGAAAATTTCTAAGTAATTTGACTAAGATTACATGTAATGTAGGCAAGAACAGGTCGAGAATGAGGCGGGTCAGGACAGGTCGGGTCGATGAGAGTACTCCTGCCCGCCCCGCCCCAAAATAGGCCAAACAAATCTTATAAAACGGGTCAGGTCGAAATTGTCATCACTAAAGAGCACAACTTTTTCTGGTTTGTCGAAATGAATGAAAAAGACATATTAGGACAAGTTTTGGTTAGATACAACAAAATTGATGGGATTGATGAAATTTTAAACTCAAAGCAATTGGTAACCATCCTGTGGACGAGCCCGAAGGAGGAATGGTGCGTCAAGTTGTCAAGTTAGATGATGGTGGAGAGGGAAACAAATTCCGTTTCCCTTTAGAAGGGAGGCAAAGGTCACATTGTTAGGGATCATCGAAGACATGTAAAATTGAAGTTCAGGATTAATTTACACAAATGGATTTAGGTACTAAGTCTTTGAACCATACTCCAAGTAATAAGGTACATCACACAATCCATTAAGGTCTGATGTGGCAGTGCAAGAGATCTTAATTTGTTGGGATTTTTAATGGTGTGAATGAAAATAAAAGGAAAAGATCCAAGAGAATCTCTTGAAAAAACATGTTGGTAAATGTGGGAAGGCACGACCTCGAATTCGATCGATTTGATGTAATATGTTAGTAATCGGTTAAATTGGTTTGTGTAACCAATCGGACCAAACCAAATCGAGTTGAACCAAGTCGAACCGATATGACGATTGGAATAACCAAACAGGTCCAACTTCCATGGGCCGAACCGATGCGATGGTTGAAATATTTTAAATGAACCATTGCAATGGTTTGAGTGTAACCACCCATACGAAGAGTTGCCTCCCTTCGTACGTACCCCTTCATTTTCTATAAATAGCATCTAACCCCTCTGGTTTTTACATACGCTTTTCTCATACCAAAACTCTATCAAAATCTAAAGCGATTTTTTCTGCATTGTTTTTCAAGGGGAATAAGATTCTTTAAGGAGAGACATTGAATTATGTCGGTTAGGGCGTTTGTATGTGTCTTTACATGTTTTCTTAATCTTATGTGTTTGCTTGTATTCTAAGAAAATCGTATACGTGAACAATTTTCACAACAATCTTTGGAGAAGGCGGCTCGTCGATCGCCATGATCAGGATTGTTGTCTGGTTAAACTTTGACGTATCAAGAATGGCCTGAACTTCCGGAATTGGAATTTGAGTGCAGCAGATGATCTCGAGGAACTTGAAGATGCTGCTGTTGTTGTTGTTCTTCTTCTTCGGCTTATCGGCTTGCTGCTTCTCCATCTACGCTAGCTTGTGGTTGGCTGCTGGTAATTAATTAACACTGGGAGCCCTGTGTTTCGAATATATAAGCAGGTATTTAGTGTTTGTGATGAGATGCTGCATTTTTATATGCCCCTAGCTATATGGAGAGAGCCAGAGAGGGAGAGAGACCGTGTGGGCTTTCAAGGTCAACGGACCTCGTATCGGAAGAGAGATCGAGTTTGCGGATGGTCAACCAACGGTGGTAGGAGTTAGGAAGTGTCTGTTCTAACTTCTAAACTTGATATTAAAAGAAATTAATAGCCGCACATGGTTCACAATTGCCTAATATTTGTTAGGGTCGACTACTTTGGTCCGGTTGTCAAAATTAGGGCTGGCTATTTGGTCCCGGACTGTTTGGTTTTACCCGAAACCGGACCGTATAACCTGGACCGGGACCGGACTGGGACCAGATAAAAAACAATGCAATCTCATATTCGGGCTTAGATTTGAGGTAAAAAAACGGATAAAGACCGGATAAGAGACCCCCAACACCTAAAATCAAGATAAAATTGGGACCGGACCGGGTCAACACCGGACCGGATCAAGACCGGACTGTATCCAATCCAATCTTTGATCCTTATATTCCCGAAAAGACCGGACTGGGACCGGATTAATTTGGTCCAATTTAACCAGACCGAACCGTATAGCCACCCCTAATCAAAATTACATGGAGGGGTGGTTGGTTGGAGGAACCAAGCAAGAACTAGCTGTCTAGCCGTGACCAAGAACATTATTACTGTTGGTCTTGATCTTGAAATTGGAGGTCTTACATTCAAATTCATTAAGTAACAAATAATTGTAAAATTTTAACAAATTTATATAACGCGTTTATAATATAAAAAAAAATAGTGGTGTAGCCAACATCAGTTGGTAGATTGTTTGTCCAGAATATTAAGCCAACCACTCTTAAATATTATTTTGGGTTTCTCATGTGAATTGGTATATTGGGGTTGCACTTTCCATGGTTTCTTTCGAGTTCAATACGAATTAAAAATAATATTAATCGTTTGTGTGATATTTAGATGATTCATAGCATAACCATACGCCGTAATGGAAAGTTGGAAAACTTCCAAGAAATAATCATAGGCCCATCATCACAATTTGGTTAACTATAAGGTTCTAAAGTCATACATCAGGTTGGAAAAGTTGAAGGGTTCAAACAAATCTATCATGAGCCCATTATTACAATTTTGACGGGCTAAGGTAGTGCGATTTTAAGGGTGTTCTTTTAAAATTAAATAAATTAATAATAAAAAATAATATATGATTCTTAAAAAAAAAACTAATGGTAAAATTTATAACAACCATTTTCATGCTCTAAATTTTTATGATTATAAAATACCATAATGTCTACTGCATTCAACAAATCTTTTTAAATATATCCTACTAAAAAATTATTTGTAAACTGATTGTCTGTTGGATTCTAAAGCTTGGTCTTGATATAGTTTGAAGCTAAAATTCTCTTTCAGCACTTGCAGTTGAAACCAATAACTTCAATACAAATTTTTATGAATATATTAAATTCACTTTTTTCTTCACCATCAACTAAACTAAATCATAAAAAAATTAATCTAATAAATTCCTCATCATTCTCAACACAATAATAATACGGCTAATTACACGTTTGGTCACTCAAATTATATAAATCTTTCACGTTTTCCACTCAAATTACTTTTCTTTCTTATTCGTCACTAACTTTACGTATCGTTTCACCGTTAATCACTGGCTGTTAGTCTCAATCAAACTCTGTTAACTCCGTCAGTTTTTGATGACATGGCAAACGGAACTGCTGACTGGACCGTTAACTTATTGACATGTTAATTAAAAAATAAAAAAAATCCCTGCAATGCCAGAAACTCCTGCGCCGGATTCCTTCTCCCCGAACTTCAGAAACCACCATCCATTCCTTCGCCTCCCTGTAGAAGCCCCAACTGTGTCCATTCCTTCCTTGAGCTCCAAAACGACCGCCCTCCTTCCGACCTAAACCCAAGAAGTCCCCTGTTGACTGGCGCTCCGGACTCGCCTGCCGACTGCGACTAGCACAGCCGACCAGTTGGTTTCTTTTGGCTTTCGATTGAATTTCCTTCTTTTGGCTTTCGATTTCTTGCCCGTATGTTTGGTGGTTGGTTTCTTATCCTCGGTTATTGACCAACCCATCGAACCCACTGGGAATGATTCTCGACGGGGACACCTTGAGAAGCATCGCCGCCTTCACTACCGATAACAACATTCACTTGATCTGTGATTAGATATGCTCTGCCACCGTCTTCGGCAAGCCCGACTACAGCAGCATCACCGAGATCGCTGACGAGGACTGGAAGAGAGGCAACAATATTCTCAACCAAGACCTGGGTGGGTATCCGGTGCCTGAAATCCAGCATCGTCGGGCTGTTCGTGTGGATGGATCTCCGGCGGCAGCAATAGTCTCGACTAGGACTTAATAAAAAGAGGGGTTTTGGAAGGGTGAAAGTTTGCCAGCTAGCCAAACTTGAGGATACCGTGTGGGTGTGTATTTTCCGGTGGGGGAAGGGAGGTGGGAGGCGATTTTGGAGGGGTTCTTTACGGTGGGGGTTTGATGATTTGGTGTAGAGGGCGATGACGGCGAGACTGATAAGGGGGAAAAGGTATTTGGTTGCAGGGGAGACTTTTTTTTGTTATATTTTTTAATTAACATGTCATTAAGTTAATGGTCCAGTCAACAGTTTCGCTTGCCACGTCATCAAAAAATTGACGGAGTTAACGGAGTTTGATGGAAACTAACGATCGGTGACTAATGGTGAAACGATTCGTAAAGTTAGTAGTGAATAAGAAAGAAAAGTAATGCGAGTGGCAAACGTGAAAGATTTATGTAATTTGAGTGATCAAACGTGTAATTTAGCCATAATAATACCTTTTGAAAACATGAACAACCAGACTCAAAGGGCGTGTTCGTCAATTTTCCTTGCATGTAACTGAATGGCAAGAGGCTTTTTTTTTTTGACAAAAGGTAATCATATATTGATATCAAGACAATAGTTACATCCTGGAGCTAAGCCAGGCCCGAAAATCAAAATAACGACTCATAGCCGGGTACAAAGAAAGGGTCTTTCTAGCCACCAAATGAGCTACCCTATTGTTCCTCCGACCTACAAATCGAATATCCAAGCCAGGATGGGTGTTAACATAGTACATAATCTCTTCAAGCACCGCCCCTACCCTATTGCTTCTAGCATCCCCCCTGTTGATTTTATCAATGAGCACTTTAGCATCCCCCTCCAAACGGACATCCACCACTCCAAGCTCGAGACACCAGACGATCGCCTCGCGCAGCACCAACAACTCAACCACCATTGGATCATCAATCCCCTGGAGCTGATAACCCTTCACCAACAGGATCCCCCTTTCTGGAGTCATAAGGACCATCCCACCAGCCGAATGTGAGCCCAATTTTGTGGCCCCATCCCACATACAAACCACCCTGCTATCACCCCCCACAGAGACTCCAGGAGACCTGGCCTGCCGTGCTCCTACCGCTGGCGATAGGCTAACCCATTCCTCATACTGTTGATGGAATTGGCGCATCAATGCAAGAGGCTTCGCACGCACGGACATAGACATCTCAGGCTGTGGAAGTGAATACGAGAATCGGCCCAACTCCACAGTCCGGCACATTGATTTCCACTTTGGTTATTGATGTCCCATGCCGGGCAGAGGCAGTGCTAGTGCGATTTAATGGTGATCTGAAGTGAGGTGTTGGGGGTAGCATTGGCTTCGTAGGATTCGACGCTGCAGGACAGTAAGCTTTGCATTTGGAAGCTATTATGATAGAAATGTGGGATCCTCTTCTTATGGAACTTATTGCTCTACGAGATGCCATGAAATGGTGTTTAATTAAGGGGTTGTTTGGAGAATGGGATTTAGGGCGTGAATTCATTGAATCCGTAGATTTTGTAGAAATGTTATGTTTTTTTGTTGCTTTTTGTATTGTGGATTTTAGATTTAGAGATTTCAAATCTCTAAAATCTATGAATATCAAATCTCTCATAATTAGTGAGATTCTATATCTCGATTCGTGGAATTTTTTTCTCCTACCTTTTCTATTTCTTTTATTTGTTTCATATTAAATATATCTATCAACAAAGTTTTTAATATTTCTCGAACCACTCTAATTTTTTTATCAAGGATAAACATATTATTTAATATAAAAGTGAATTTTTTATTTTCATGAATGCTAACAATCAGAGTTACCAAACAATAAACATTTTAAAATCTATTTTCAACAATCCAAAGAGTTAGAATCTTTAGATTGTTGATAATTCATAGATTTAAATTCATATTCTCCAAACGACCCCTAAGTCTTTTGTTTTGGCACAATTCTATGGTGATTCACAATAGTGGTGCTGACGAGCGATCACGGCCATGAACGAGGCGGGGCTATCCTCGAGGATGTTTCGCTTCTGGACAAGAGTTTTGACTTATGCTCTTGCCATTATACTCCACGAAGCTTCAATAGGGCTGCCCATCTTGTGGTGAAATAGACCCTTTCATTAGAAATTCGACTATTAGTCGACTTTCGCCCGTGGTTGTTGTTCATTCTCTAACTATGTATTTATCTGTACTCGTTTGACTATGTTAAAAAAAAACTTAAAGGGCATCCCACAGGACTAAAAAAGAAAAAATTATTCAACAAAATTTTTTTGCCTCTAATCAAGAAGGTTGGTTTTTTTTAATTTGTATATTTGGAGGAAAAGAGCGAACAATGAATACAAATTGTTCGTAGGATGTAGGGTCAATAAAGAGTTTTTATTTTTCTTCCTCATCAAACCTCACCACAACTTTCAGCTATTGGCAATACTAATGAAGTCGCTTGTTTGTCTTAATCAAAGTAGGATACAATTTTTTTTCTCCAATAGATCACTCTACAAAAGAGGAAAGGATCCAGATACAAAGACACAGAGTACATCAAATGTCCCTACTATGAAACCATGAACAGAAGTCGAACCTCCTTAACAAGGGAGGCGACAAAGACAGAGCATGACGGGCCACACAAGGAGCAGCTCTGTTTTGAACTCTACCAATAAACTGCACCCGAGATGAATTCATCGCGGCCAAGAGTGCAATAATTTCTTTCAGGATTGAACCAATCTTGTTGTCTACAGAATCCCTTGCTGAAGCCTTGTCGATAATGAGTTTTGCATCACCACCAATGCAAACCGAACTCTACTGCACTCGGGAGTGACAATCAACAAGACAATCCCGCAAAGCCAAGGCTTTCAAGACGTACGGATCAAAGATAGCTTCATATCTACGAGCATTCACACCAATGAGCATACCTGAAACATAAAAAAAAGACCTAACTTGTGGTGCCAAAACCAGCCCGCGAAGTTGCAGCATCAAAGGATGCAGAGCATCCATGAATACCAGTCGTAGTGGACTGAGTTTGAGTAGGCAACCGCTAAGGAATAGCTGGCAAAATAACAGTGCTTGCTCATTCTCCTTCACTTGGAATAGCCATTAATTAGGCAGTAGATCCAGTGGCGGAGCCAGGAAATTGGCCAAGGAGGTGTCTTTATCATATCATAAAAAATCACCTATACAATAGAAAAGTCAACTTTAAATTAAACAAAAAGTCAACAATGCTATACTCTAAATTCACACAATTACATCAAAATAGTTTCACGTACACCGGTTACAACGTCAAACAAATAAGTTCAGTACATACAAATCAAGACTTCCATTCATCAAATATTACAAATTAGAACTCAGAAGTATCTTGGAATTGATTTTGTGAAACAAACAAGTGAACTTCAATTGGTACTTCTTCACTTTCAACTTTGTTTAAACAAAAGACAATAAATTTCTCTGTTGTAGAGCTACAAAAAAAAATGATCGAGTTTAAACAAAAGACAACAATTTATTACTATAAATAAAGACGAAAGTGCACTGGCGGATTCAGGGGGTGGCCACCCCGGGCCCCGGCCCAGCCCTCCTCTGGATCCGTAGTTAGTATAGTACTTATGAAATTTTCGATTTTAGACATTCGGCCCAGTGTTATTTTATGATATGATTGGGTTTAACTAGAAAAATTATCAAGTTGAACATATTCAAATCACTACTCTAAATTTAGCCTAGAAATTTTAGCCCCAAAGATTATGCATCTAAAAAAACAAATAAACCTAAAATTCTAAAAAGTTTAAAATGTAAAAGACTAAAAAAATGAGGTTTGTTCCCTTAAAAATTTACTAGAGTAGCTGGTGTGCAGGGATGAACACACAGTGCAAATTGATTAGTCGATTGATTTATCTAGTGTTGATGCTGCTCGTTTCAACAGCTACTACGAAGAGAACCTTTTTAACAATGAAACATGTGAGAACTGATTTGCTCAACAAAATGAGCGATGAATTTCTCGCCGATTGCTCAAGTATTTTATTTGAAACAGTGTATACTATTGGTATGGATGTAGACTCCTTGATGCATTCCCTAAATTAAAATACAGCCGTGTACAATTTACATTGCAAAAAACTATAATCATTATATTTTTTTTACGGTTATAATTTTCTAATAAAATGCGGCCCAGTGCTCTTCTGTGTTCTGGATCCGCCGCTGCGAAAGTGCATTACATAACAAAACTCACTCGATCGAAATGATAAGAAATTCTTTCTGCAATTGAATGGTCATTGGTTGGAATTTGTATATACCCCTACTCGGAAAAAAAAATTCCAAAGCCAAGGGGGGTGCAAAGCACCCCCTCCTCTCCAAGTGGCTCCGCCACTGAGTAGATCTAGTTGAAGTTGTTTCCCCCTTGAAACACTACCATACACCGATTCTTCCACAACCTCCAAAGCAAACATATTATCGGCAGAATGATATAATCTGCATCCCCAGTCCCCACCATTAGATTGACCAAGGGAGTTGCGAATGAACCCAGCAAAAGTCCTCTTCTCCGACTGCTGCTAGGGGTGTCAGTTCGGGTCGGGTTCGGTTACCCGAACCGAAACCCGAAAAAATCCGAAACCGAAAATTCCTGAAACCGAACCCGAACCTGATAAGGACTTGCGGGTTCCAGTTACCCGAAACCCGAAAATTCTTATCGGGTTCGGTTCGGTTAAAGCAAAATCGAAACCCGAAAATCCGAACGCCTAAGAATACATACTGAGTTCTATTCATTGGAGGTTTTTAGTCGAAACCCGAAAAACCGATAAGCAAAACCGAAACCCAAAACGAATCCGAAAAACCAAAAATGTATATAATCGGGTAGGTTTCGGGTAAACCCGAAAAACCGTACCCGAATGGACACCCCTAACTGCTGCCAAAGGTCCCGCAAACCAAGTAGGATACAACTACTACAAATTAGTTGAAATCAACAAGGCCAACGGGCCGGACTCACAGCTTCCACGTAGTTCAATTGACGAAGCCCAATTGAGCAGGCTCACCTATTCGGCCTGACAAGACTTGGCGTCTCAAATCGGCACCGCATGGGCACTTTTTTCATCCGTTTGTTTTACACTTTTACTACCTTTTTTGCCCCTTCCCCACTTTCCACTCTATTCATTGGCAATTTGGCATATTACCAAGCAACTCGCCGGAGCCAGCCACCGTCGGTTCCTTCTCCCCTCTTCACCAGCTGCTCCAATTGAAGAAAACCCTATTTCCGGTGGTCACGATTCCTCTTCCCCATTCCTTTCTATACCTCAAGGTACGTTCATTTGCTGCGATTCCTCCTACCTATACGATTTCGTCGAGCTCATTGAAGAGCACTGAATCAAGCAAATGAGCTCGCTGTCTAATTCGTCTGAATACGGAAACTAGGCATTTGATTAATGTATCGGCTTTCAGCTCTCTCAATTCTTTCATTGTACAAATCCTTTGTAGAGCTGGATTTAAGTTTCTCAATTTATGGAGGCTTCTTTTTGAGGAGAGGAATTGGGCATGGCTCGAGCCTTGGATCTGCAGGACTTCATTGTTCGAGCTAAGGTGCTGAAGCTGTACAGGCAGGCGCTCCGGGTGGTTCGTAGAGCACCTGATGGTGCTAGAGGTATAACTTAGCTATATGGGGTTTTGATTTGCTGCTGGAATTGCTCTTCAAATCTGAATCTTAAGATTTATTGAAGTTGCTTTCATTGAAGGTTCTAGGTTTTCAATTCTTCTGTTAATCCTGGATAGTAAAAGTTTCTGAAATTAGGGCTCAATTGATGAAGTTTAGGCCTTACATTACAACTATCTGTAGCATAGAGCCAAAGGGAATTAAGCTTTCTTGAATTTCTGTTGAGTGGTTTTGCTAGATAATGTGGTGGAGAGTGCACCTTGACTTGATTTTCCCCTGTAGCTTGATATGCCAATCGAGAGTCTCGACCACTTTTTGGCAGAATGGATTATAGTGTTAGTATACACTTCTGGTTCCATCTGTTCTTCACAAAGTTCTGTTCTAAGTTTCAGGAGGGGGATGACAATTGAGCCGATTTGAAACAAGTGTCTCACAAGTAGCAAGCCTCTAGTTTCTAAGAGAGTTTTAACTTTTCTGCATCATGGAAGCAGCAATTGATATTAACCTTCAGCACTAGCTATTCTCTATTTTCTCTTTTGCTTTAAGGTTTAGATATTTCTGAGTTTCTGAAAATGGGTTCAGGAATTGATAATCAACTTTCGGTATTTGCTCTCTCTCTCTCTCTCTCTCTCTCTCTCTCTCTGAGTTTCTGATACTATCTAGTAGGGTTATAGGTATAATATGCCCCTCTACTATGACGTTTTATCAAACATGTCTCTTTACTATTTTTTACATCAAGCATGCCCCTGTACTTTGTAAAATTGATCAAACATGCCCTTTTGTTAAAATTTTAATCCCAAAATCGTTAACCAACGCCGAACTTTAATTTGGGCGACACAAATGACTAAAATATCCCTAATAAATTCACTTTAGAATCTTTTTAGTTCTTTTGTATAATCAAATCATTCAAATAATTTCACTTTGAAAAACCCCAAGGAAATAAAACAGGGGACAAAACTGACATTTTTCCTCCCATTTGTCGATGTCAGGTCGTCTAAATCTCAATTCAACCATGATTGACGATTTTTTCAATGGAATTTTTAACAGAAGGACATGTTTGATAATTTTTTCAAAGTACAGGGGCATGTTTGATAAAACGTCATAGTAGAGGGGCATATTATACCTATAACCCTATCTAGTATCTACACAAAATCTGGTTATGCAGTCTTGATCTATAAGTTGGTGAGTTTCTGAATTGTGTCTGTGAACTGAGTAGAAAGCTTACAGATCCAGTAAATTCTGCTTCATCTTTTAGACAACGATGGTGTATTGCAGATGAACTGAAGCAAACAATTAGGCAGGAAATGGAGAACAACCGAAACTGCAACGACAGGCAAACGATTCGGTTTCTAATGAGCGACGGGTTAGAGAGGCTGAAACGTTTAGATGAGACCCTTGATATGCAGGGCCGTTGATTAGCAGCAACAGCAGCAGCAGTACACTTGGTTCTTTTTCATTGATGGAGTAGGTTCAAAACTTAACTGCGGCATGGGCGTAGTAATGGAAGAAGACGAAGGTTTATGAATTCATTATCAGAGTTAAATAATCCATTTCCTAAATTTGTTTGTATATTTTTGTATTCGGAATTAGGACTCCTAAAGAATCGCAAATTTCATTCTGATTCATGTGATCATGTGCTGTAAAACAGTCCCTGTTGATGTTGAATGTTATATTTCATTGGACTAATATCACTATAAAAAAAATCAATCATTGGCGACTGTCATTTGTATTACACAACTATCCATATGACATTGTGTATACCAAATTGTTTTTTCGTTAGTTGGACTGTTAAATTTAATTACGAGCCTAGTCAATGTCTAGTTAGCGCCTAGTTGGCATGCTGACATGGAAATTTTAATCGTCCTATCCAATTTCTGCATTTAACGGAAAAGATAAAGATAAAAGGTAAAAGTAGAATAAAGAGGTGTCAGACACTTATTTTCATGTCAACCTCATCCTTGCTCTTCGTTGCTATCGAAGTCGAACAGAAGACGAACTCTAAAAAAATTCCTCTAAAATTGATCTAGTTGGTGAAATTAGTCTACACATGAGTGGAGTCTGAGGCTTCAAATAGTCGGCGGAAGTGAAATCAGAGAAGCGGAATGGTCGAATTAGGTCAGAGATGAAGTTTCCAGTCTTCATCTTCTGTCACAGTTAGTTGGCGAAGAACTTCGAACCAAGGGACTAGAAGTAATATCGAAGTAAAGAAGAAGTAGGATTCAAACATAGGTCTGAATCTTTGCCTTTTGGAAGCACAAAAGGCGATTGTGAAGAAGTGGTCGTGTCTAAATTTTTCTAAGGTTTTTTTTTGGCATCAGAAGCTGTTGACTTTTTTTTTTGACAAAAGATAATCTTATATTAATAAGGAAAGATAGTTACATCCTGGAATTCAGCCAGGCCTGATAATTAAAGCCACGATGCATGATCGGGTACAACGAAAGGGCTTTTCTAGCCACCATGTGGGCTACCCTATTACTACTCCGACCTACAAATCGAACCGTCAAACCCAGCTGGGCGCGAAAATACTGCAAAACTTCCTCCAAAACAGCACCCACCCTGTTGTCTCTAATATCCCCTTGGTTAAGTTTATCAATGATCACCTTCGCATCCCCTTCAAATAGGACATTAGTGAACCCATTCGCCAGACACCAAGAGATAGCCTCCCTAAGAACCAGCAATTCCACCGTCATCGGATCGCCCAGCAGAGGGAAGTGGACACCCTTGACCATCAGAACCTCTCGAGCAGGAGAGAACAGGACAATTCCACCAGCCGAATGCGAATCTGGCCGAACCGCCCCATCCCACATACAAACCACCCCCCCCCCCTTATCCCCTAGTCGTGTACTTCCACCCACAGGGGCTGGAGATTGGAGAACCCTATCCACCGGCAGCCGAACCCACTCCTCATACTGCTGGTGGAACTGACGCAGTAAGGTTGGAAACCCAAACTGCTTGCCCTCAAACACCACCCAATTCCGGGAACGCCAAATCCGCCATAGGATGGCAACCACCGCCATGAAAAGCTGGGGCTGGTGGATCAAGGCCATCATCCTTTTAAGAAACAAAGGGAATGTATGTCGGGCCAACCCCTCCCCTACGTACTCCAGTCCTGAGTAATCCCACAAAGCACGCGCCACAGGGCATTCCAGAAACAAATGTTCCATCGTCTCCGGACTTTCCCAGCAAACTGGACACCTAGGGAGTACCGGCACTTTCCTGCTTATAAGGGCCTCAGTCGTCGGCAAGATGCGATTAAGAATCTGCCAGACAAAAACTTTTAGCTTTGGTGGGATATTGGCATTCCACAACCGGATCCAACTCGCTTTATCCATCCAACTTACCGTAGCCTTCCAACCACCCCTCCGCTTATCGAGTGTCACAGCTAGGTGGTAAGCAGACTTGACCGTGAATACTCCATCCACCGTCTCATGCCAAATTAGTCTGTCCTCCACATTCTGACGGGGAAGCGAAATCATTTTAATGGCCTTACAAACGGGCGGATCAAACCACTGACTAAGTTTCTGGTCATCCCACCGCCCCTCACCATGGCACATAACTTCCACTACAGGTGGATCACCACCCTCCGGAAGGATCATTGGATTAAAACTTGGGGGATCCAATTGGAATGCAGCAACGATGCTGTTTTCCCATTACCGATTTGCCATCTTAACCCCTTTTCTAATAACTGACGGCCAAACAGAATACTCTGCCACCCCCAAGAGGGTCGAGAGCGGGCCGTCGCCTGCAAGAAAGTCCCATTTGGAAAATATTTCTCTCGATAAACCTGGGCGAGAAGGGAGGTCGGTTCAGTAAGGATACGCCAACCAATCTTGGCTAGAAGCGCCTGATTAAATTGTTCAAACCGCCGAAATCCCATCCCTCCCTCGTGCTTACTCCTGCACATATTCCGCCAAGACATCCACCTAATCCTAGGGTGACCCTCCACATCGCCCCACCAGAATCTCGCCACATATTTGTCCAAAAGACGACAAAGAGAGACAGGCAGTTTAAAACAAGACATAGCTTGCAGAGGCAACGCAAGGGCAATTGATTTGATAAGGGTTTCCTTTGCCGCCCAGGACAACGTCCGCTGTTTCCACCCCTGGAGACGCTCGCGCAGCTTATCCTCCAGGAACCGGAAAGTAGCCGATTTAGATCGAGCAATCAACGTAGGGAGGCCTAGGTATTTATCGTGTACCCCTACTGCCCCCCACCCCCAGCACCTCCGCCAGGAACTCCTGGTCCTCCCGCACAACATTCTTACTGAAGCATACAGCAGATTTATTCAAATTTATCCTCTGACCACTCAATTCCTCATACTCATTGAGGACCACCATCATATTCTCGCACTCCTGTAGGGTTCCTCGTAAAAACAAATACGAGTCATCGGCAAAGAACAAATGCGAAACCCTAGGGGCCCGGGGAGCCACTTTAACCCCCTCAAGCTTCTTCTCCGCAATGGCCTTTCGTAAGAGGGCCGAAAACCCTTCCGTGCAAAGCACAAAGAGGAGAGGGGAAAGAGGATCGCCCTGCCGCAACCCCCTAGTAGGGGAGAAGTATCCCGAAGGGGCTCCATTCATCATGACCGAGAAGGAGGCCGATTTGAGGCACTCATAAATCCAACCCCTCCAGATCCCGTTAAAGCCCATTTTGTCTAAGACTGCAAGGAGAAAAGGTCATTCAACCCTATCATAGGCCTTTTCCATGTCAACCTTCAAGGCCATGAACCCCTTCTTCCCTCGCGTCTTAGTTTTCAAAAAGTGCATTAACTCATGTCCCAGTAGGATTTTATCCACTATCTGCCGCTCCCGTATAAAGGCATTCTGGCCATCCGAGATGATTCCTGGGAGGATACCTGCCAACCTTTCCGCCATAATCTTAGTGATCACCTTATAGACAAATTGACATAAACTGATCGGGCGTAATTGCTTCATGGTTTCCACATTTTCCACCTTCGGGATCAAAGTAAGCCAGGTATGATTGAAGCTGCGTAGCATCCGACTTGTAGCAAAGAAGGAACACACCGCATCAATAACCGAAGAACCCACGATATCCCAGAAGGCTTGAAAAAACTTGCCAGTGAAACCATCCGAACCAGGGGGCCCGTTTCGATCCCATAGCAAAGACCATTCGCCGTACCTCCTCCGGGAGCACCGCAGCCGTGAGAGCGTCATTCATTTCTGGGGTGACAGACCGGGCAATAGGGAGAGCTGCCACCCTATCAGCCATGTTACCCACAGAGTTCTCCGTGGTAAAAAGCTGCTGATAGAAGGAAGTAGCCATCCTCGCCTTGCCGGGTTCATCAGTGATCCATTCCCCCTCCTCATTCCTGAGACCCTCCACAAAATTCTTTTTTCGGCGGGTCCTAGTAACAGTGTGAAAGTATGACGTATTCTTATCACCCTTTCTCAGCCAGTTAACCCTGGACTTCTGCTGCCAGTACATCTCCTCTGCCTCCCATTGCCGATTCAATTCCACCTCCACCACCCGGACCGCCTCCCAATCGATTGGATGGGAACTTTTAATCCTCTCAATTTCACTCTGCAGAGTATTAATATTTCGTAAAGCGTTAGTAGTTCCCGCCCGACTCCAATCGTACAAGTGACGCAGCCTCTTAAGACGCTCCCAAAGGCAGAACATAGGAGTACCCTGAACATCCCCCTTCCACACATAATCAACCATTGCTCTCACCTCCGGGTTATCCGCCCAGCGGGCATCAAACCGAAACAGAGAGCGGCAATTTCTGGCATAAGCTTTATCGGAGAGCAGAATAGCCCGATGATCAGACCCCTGATCCGTAAAATGTTTGACCAAAGTCTCCGGGAATCGCTCCATCCAGAGATGGGAACACAGGCCCCTATCCAGGCGTTCCCGGATACAAGCCGCACCCATCCTTTTGTTGGCCCAAGTGAATTGATCCCCAAGAAAGCCTGGATCAGGAGCCCCAACTCATGAATAAACTCACGGAGGCTTGACGCCTGAGTCGCATTCCAGGGGTTGCCCCCATCCTTCTCACTCTCACAAAGAGTCGAATTGAAATCCCCCATAACCACATAGGGCAGGTGGAAGGTAGAGCAAAGCTCCTGGAGGTGAGCCAGTTGGGAAGCTCTGGTCGCGTTATGACAACTAATATACGCAAAAACCACAATATAAGAAAAATCCACTTCATTAATTCTGGAACAAATACAAAATTCCGAATGATAAAACACCGAGGCATCAACCCCGGGGGACCAAGCTACTACTAACCCACCCGATGCATCAATAGCATCAACAAAATAACAATTCGAAAGAGCAAAACCCAACCCACGATACGACGGGAGACAACACGCCGGCTCGATCGCGTCTCGGAAAAAAACACGAGATCCGGTTTATTAGAGCGCACTAAACCGATAGCAGTTTGGAATGTGAGGGATGGTCCAATTCCTCTCACATTCCAGGACAAGAGCTTCATTTATCGGACTGGGGCCATTCGAGGCTGGCTTCCTCCACCTTATTCAGATTTTCTGCAACTTCAACAAATTGTTTTTTTGGTGTGGGCATGTCACCCAAATCACCCTCAACAGCCTCCAGCGGACGCTTACGTGTCCCAAAATCCGGGTTCGATAAATTGGACCCATATTCATCCAGCTTTGGGCTAGCTTCCTGGATCTTAGCCTGATCCTTCACTCCATTATTCTCACATCCCATCTGCTCCGCTGAGCTGAGCTGGGCCGCAGCATCACTGGCCAGCCCTGATTCAATCGAGGCCACAATTTGGCTCACCCTCCCCTTGGACTGGGCAATCGGCCCATTCGATCTAGAGGCTGGGGCCCTTCTTTTAATTTCAAAGCAGTGGCTTTCCTCCTCTGATTCCGAATTTGCAGACACAAGGGCCTTGACTATTTCATCATTTGGTTGCGCAGCAGGTACCTGGCCCGCATGCTCAGATATCTCCGCGGGCCTGGGCGGGTCTGGCCCACCAGCCTTCCCTTTCAACGGGCCTCGCTTAATCTGACCAGGGCGATCCCCCTTCATCTGGGTCTGGCGAGTTTTGCCTTTCCCAGTGGGCCGGGCCCTTACTTGCTTAGGGCGATGGGAGTGCCCCTGCTGGGCCGATCCCTTCTCTGCGGTGGGCTTGGCCCCAATAGCCACGGTATCCCCACTCCCTGCCGTCACCCCCTGCTGGGCAGGCCGGGTTTTCAAGCCCAGACTCTTGACCCACAATCGGTGTTTGCAGACCAGACACAGTCGCCTTCTTCATCCCCATCGATCCAGCCCCACCTCCTCTGTCAAGCTCGAGGGCGTCGTCATCCGAGTCCGTGACCAGGATCATTCGGCGCCGCCGGGTGTTCGCGAGGATGCCCGGATAGTCCCCCTGCAACAGTGATTGGTCCGGGCTCAACTCATTAGTGAGAGCACCCACCTCTGTCCCTTCGCTTGCGTGCACCATGTGCTCTGTTGGCACTCCACCATGGCCAAGCTTTTGAAGGTTACCCCTCCCAAGTTGAATACGAGGAGGTTTCTTCATGGGGAACCCTCTCGGGCTTGCATTTTTATTTGTCGGCGAGGATTGCACTCCCTGGGGTTGATGGGCTTTGCTGTCGTGAACAGAGCCACCCTTAGCCTTAGGAACTGCCGCCGCCCCATTTTTCCTAGTCACCGGCCGCACCTCATCCCGACCTCGTACGTAAGTACGAGCATTGTTGGTGTCTCCCTGGATTTGTCGATTAACCCAAACTGTTTGCCTATGGCCACCTGTCCTCATGTTGTCAATTTCATCTTCATCATAAATCTTCCTACCCAGCTTCTTGGTCGACATATGTGGGCCAAAACGCTCTTGCCCACTGGGCGGATCAAAAGTGCATTTGCGACGAGCGTGACCCACTCGACCACAATGGTAGCAAAAGCTTGGAAGAAACTCGTATTTCAAGTTCACCCAAAATTTGTCAATATCATCACTTGCCGCCATCAACTGGGACCGGAGCGGTTTTGCAAAATCAACAACTGCTCGGACTTTGATGAATCGCTCCCCTGTATCCTTGCACGCAAAGATGTCCGATTCAAGGACTTGGCCAATGGCGGCTCCCACGAACTTGCGCCCAAAGAGCTTGGTGCAACAATCCTTTTGCACACCCCATAGTTGGATGTGGAAAGGAGCAATGGAGAGTTCCTCGAAAATCTTCCGCGGGATCGATGGAACCCAGCCCCGGAGAATAAGGACTCTATCTTTGATAATCCATGGGGATCGTTTTAGTGCCCAGCTTTTGGCCTCGACGTTAGGAAGCATGATTTCGAAGAGCTCGTGTGTTGTCATAGAGACTTTCACCCTTCCCTTGATCTGCCAGGCATCAACCAGGGCCTCTCTCATTTCCAGGGTCGAGATTTGGTCAGCCGTGAATAAGCGTCCAAGCAGAGTGCGGGAGGCACGGAGCCTAGTGGACTGAACTTCATCGAGTGAAAACTGGATCACCTGATCCTCCGTCACGTGGACCATTCTTCGAGCCTGACAAGGAAAAGCAGAGTTTAATTGGGACCCTTTTATAAGATAATGATAAGGTAAGCTCCTCGACAGAGGTGGATTCACCAGAAGGTTAGGGTTTGTTTCCCCCGATTCAACTGATAGGGCCTCAGCCGTAGGGAGAGGATTAGAGTCGGCGGCCTTAATAGAGAGGTATTCAAAGTCCTCAATACCTGGTTTGCCGCCGGTCTGATGCTGCGGATCGTTTGCTGCTGCGAGAGGAGTAGTCCACACGCTCTGTTTCTCACGGTACTTGTAGTACAACAGACGCAGCATCAGTTTATAAATAAGGAGAAAGGCAGTCTTAGCTGTTTCTCTTGAGGTTATCCCAATTAGCCCATTACCGTTAGCTTTTGGAATTGTACTTGACTTAGGAGACCTATTCTCCTTGTTCAGATTCTTCAGGGAGATAAAATTGCAACAGATTTTATCCAGCCGCCACGGAAAATCCGGGTAAATTCGAGTAACAACAGAAATAGGATCTGTCCCCCAATTTTGACGCGGTTTGTGAGATCCCCTGCGTAGTGACCAGCAGACGCCATCTCCGCCGAGAATCCCTGTTCCGATCGCCGTCGCCGGCGTTAGTCTCCCGCGCAGCGCTGGTTTTGTCATCGCTGCATTCCAAGTTAAAACATATGTATTTCCATTGGCCCATCTCCAGTGAGATGCGTTTGCCCCGCTAATATGCTGGGCAGCCCGCACTTTCTCCTCCATTGAAACAGCCGCAGGTGAGCGCAAGCTCCTTTCATTCTTCTGCAATTCCGATTGCATGGTGGATTTTTCACCACTCTTTTCCTGGGTAACCAGCGGTATCTCCTTCCCCACATCCATCGCAGGTGGGAGCCAGAACCGCCATCCCTTTAGCGGCAACAATCTGCCTTTTTTTTTAGGGCCAAGATCATCAATGGCCCAAGCATCGCCGCGTCTTCTTTTTTGAACGCGTGCTGGTACATCCCACTTCTCATTACGCCGCGAATTGCCCCCAAATCGTTTTTGCGGGTGTTCGTCACGACTGCCGGTGCGCACTCCGGGGCTGGTATGTATTCTGCGCACTCCGGGACTGGGAGTTGTACTGTTCCAGCCGGAGGTTTGATTGCGCAGGCAAGCCAATAAGCACGAATAGATCAACTTCATTAGCCATTCTCCGAGCCAGGACGCTTTTCTGATGAGAGAGGAGAGAGCTCCTTCCCCCAACATAATTTTTTTTTTCAAGAACACTGGAGTTGTTGTCATGCAAACCCTGTAGTGATTCGAAGCTAAGGTTGTGCCTCTTTTAACTTTTTTTTTTTGCTTTAATATGTTTTGCTGAGGTGAAAAAAAAAGCAGAAGCTGTTGACTTATCGGGCTCTTTGTGGCAAAATCTGGTGGTTGGGAAGCAATTGATGGCTAAGCAGGGTACATAAATTATTGGGGGTGAGGAATAGTGGGTGCACAATTGAAGATTCCCACCAAAAGCTTGGACCATGATTTTGATTGTGAAGACGAATTTAGTCATGTTGTCAAGTGAAAAACAGGTTAGTGATGCTTCCTTTAGCTAGCTTTTTCATCAATTTCATTGAATTTTCGAGATGACTGTGGTGATGTTGTGGTGGCTTTGTTTATTTGTTTATGGGGACAGTTTGGTTGGGAAATAAGCAGTTTAATTTTTGTTTAGTGTGGTAAAGCATTTATTAATGTTGTTTATTTCAGGATGATTGATAATTTTGTAGAGTTGATTTTCAACCATGGTGATTGGACGGAGACATACCATATTTTATAAACATCATGCCAGATTTTCGTGTATAACAACAACATCACTCATATTCATCAACAATAGCTTGCTACACTTTGAACATCAACGATAACATCTTCATCAATTCAACCAACAACAACAAACAACACACATAAGTAATCCTACTAACACATACAGTACTCAACCTAGCATTTTCACACATGATCTTAACCAAATCTAGATAGAGCATTTGATTTTCCTCTTCGTCTGTTATGTCTTAGCTTCTTTAACTTTTAGCCTTTCTTCTAACATTTGTGCTCCGTACTTCATGGAAACAAGCTTCATCTCTGAATAATCTTCCTCAGTTGTTGGTGTGTCAACCCATAGGAAATAATTACAATTGACGGCATCATCACTTCAACTAACAACAACAACAAAAACAACGACCATCAATAATCCTATACTAACACATACACAACAGTAGTCAACCTAGTTGATTTTCAAGTACTCCAAATCGAACAAAAAAGAAGGTTACCAGGACACAGAGGAGCGGAGCCAAATCGAGTAATCCACTAACCACTATTTCCACCGGTCGAGAGTCGTCGTTCGTCTTTCCTTTTATGACGACTTCACTATTTTCATGGGTCACTTTTTGACTCTTGTAAAGCCCGACCGTCGACGCCTTCCAAATCCCCAGCACTCAGTGGCGGAGCCAGAAAATTGGCCAAGGGGGTGTCTTTATCATATCATAAAAAATCACTTATACAATAGAAAGTCAACTTTAAATTAAACAAAAAGTCAACAACGCAATACTCTAAATTCACACAATTACATCAAAATAGTTTCACGTACACCGGTTACAACGTCAAACAAATAAGTTCAGTACATACAAATCAAGACTTCCATTCATCAAATATTACAAATTAGAACTCAGAAGTACCTTGGAATTGATTTTGTGAAACAAACAAGTGAACTTCAATTGGTACTTCTTCACTTTCAACTTTGTTTAAACAAAAGACAAGAAATTTCTCTGTTGTAGAGCTAAAAAAAAATGAGCGAGTTTAAACAAAAGACAACAATTTATTACTATAAATAAAGACGAAAGTGCATTACATAACAAAACTCACTCGATCGAAATGATAAGAAATTCTTTCTGCAACTGAATGGTCATTGGTTGGAATTTGTATATACCCCTACCCGAAAAAAATTTCTCCAAAGCCAAGTGTTAGTGTACATTGGGTCGTAAACTTGGGTCACGGAGAATTAAGTGAATAGTGGCCCACGCCCATGCAATCCTAAGCATGCAGACGTAGGGATGCTAGGGTTACAACCCATATATATAGTCTCTTGTACTCCACCGAAAAACCTAAGCCATTATAGTACGATTTTCATCTTGGAGAGTTAACCTCTCCCGTGGATTAGTCCTGGCATTCCAGGGATACCACGTTAAATCCGTGTGTTCATCTTATTCAGTTTCAGTTTATTTAGATTTGCTAACATGGTATCAGAGCTTTCGGCAGCAGATTCCGAGAGAATGTCCATTCGGCTCAACCCGAAGAACTACATGCTGTGGGAATTTCAATTTCGTGTTCGTGTTGAAGGGAAGGGACTCGCTGGGGTCCTGGATGGAACTGATACGAAGCCAGATTCTACGGCCACTGCCGAGCAGATTGCACGCTGGACCATGAACGATGCTCGGGTAAGATCGTGGATCCTGGACTCGGTTGATCCAAATATTTGCTTGAGTCTTCGTATGCACCAGACTGCTCACGAGATGTGGAAGCAATTGGCGGCCACTTACTCCACCGCTAGTGCCGCACGCCAATTCGAAGTGCAGGTGGCGCTCGATAAATTGGAACAGGGTGATCGAGACATAACGGCGTACCTTACAGCTGCTCAAGAGCTCTGGACAGAGGAAGATTTACTCACCTCGTCACTCCGCCCAGCCGCGACGTCAGCAATTCTGATCGCTGAACGTAAACACGCCCGACTTCTTCACTTCCTGATGCGACTGCGGCCGGAGTTTGAGGCCATCAGGTCTGCAATTATCCATCGTGGGGAGCTGTCCATGGATGGAGTTTTTGGAGATTTAATACGCGAAGAGACTCGCCTGCGAACCCAAGCCAAGCTGGACCTCCGTCCCGGCGACAGTGAATCGGCACTTGTTGCTGTGGCGGGAGAGGATGCGGCCTTTGCTGTTGGACGACCACAATTCCAACGCCGGATTCCTATAGCTGAATTACAATGCCATCATTGCAAAGAGAAGGGGCATCTTCTAAAATATTGCCGCAAACGTAATCTGTGCGTGTACTGCAAGAAAGGCGGACATATAATTCTCGATTGCCGACTATTTTTGAAGCATCATGGGAAGCATGCTGAGATGTCATCATCTGACACCCACCAGGAGCAGCCTCGCTCAGAAAATCGTCGATCTGATCGCTTGGCGGCCTACTCCACACAGCTGGCCAACGGGAACGGTGCAGGCATCTCAGCTTCCAAGATAGAAGAGCTGGTTAATGCAGCCCTACAAAAGTCGCTACCCACTGCCATTAATTCCGCCTTCGCGGCGATGCAGGTCACAGGTAAGAAATCCTCACCTTGGCTATTGGATTCAGCTTGCTTTAATCATATGACGCAAGATTCAGCTGCCATTACGAACATTAAACCTGTGAGTCATATGAATTTACGAGTTGCTAATGGGGAGAATTTGGCTGTTCACGGCATGGGATGTGTAAATCAACCTAAGCTTAAGTTAACTAATACGCTGCATGTCCCAAAATTAGTGCCTAACCTCGTTTCAGTCGGCCAACTTACTGATCATGGTTGTTCTGTTACGTTCGCACCGTCTGGCTGTGTTGTGCAGGACCTGAAGACGGGGAGACAAATCGGCAGAGGGAGTAAGCGGGGGCGTCTATTTCAGTTAGAAGAACTCATCAGTCCATCATCATCATCGTCCTCTCCTGTCTCCGAAACCAGTAGGCTTGTCAGTAGTCCTTTGGTGTCTAGTTTTTCAAGTGTTCCTAGTGAGTCAAATAATGTTTGGGATTTGTGGCATTCGCGTTTGGGTCACCCTAACTCTAGTCGGTTGTTGCAAATGTTTCGTCAATCTTTGTTAGGCAAGCACACTGTTTCCTCGTTTTCTAAACATAATTGCACCAGTTGTGTTGAGGTTAAAACTATCAGTATATCGTTTCCTTCTAGTTCGACGGTGATTTCTGAACCATTTCATATTGTGCATTCTGACCTATGGGGTCCGTCGTCTGTTCTTTCTCGCCATGGATTTCGTTATTTTGCACTCTTCATCGACCATGCTACTAGATTCACATGGGTTTATTTTCTGCGCCTAAAATTGGATCTTAAGGCCGTAGCAGAAGAGTTTTTGAAAATGGTGCAAACTCAGTTCAATAAACCTGTTAAAATTCTCCGGTCTGATCCTGGCGGAGAGTTCAGCTCAAATCCGTTGATGGCTTTGTATCGATCTCTTGGAACTTTGTGTCAAAAATCTTGCCCTGGTGTGTCTCAACAAAATGGGTTAGTTGAGCGTAAGAATAGACATGTGCTTGACCTAACTCGTGCTCTCCTCATTGAGTCAAAAGTTCCTTCTCGTTTCTGGCCTGAGGCTGTCGCTACCGCTGTCCGTCTTATAAATTATCAACTCACTCCTGTTCTTCAGAATGTTAGCCCATTCTTTGCTTTGAATTCCCGTCATCCTAACTATTCTCGTCTCCGGGTTTTTGGGTGTTTGTGCTTTGTTCTTATGCCACGGAAGGAACGCACTAAGTTGACTCAGAAAACCGCTCGATGTGCATTCCTTGGATACAGCGATGTTCACAAAGGGTACATTTGTTACGATCCGAGTCTCCAACGTGTGCGCATTGCTGCCACCGTTGTTTTCTTTGAAAACTTTAAGTTTTTTTCTTCTGTTGATCCTGAACCTTCCTTGTTCCATCCCCTGTCTGAATTGCCTTGTTTTGATGATGATGATGATACTGGACCTGATGATGGATTGTTGCCCCCTGAAGACCCGCCCTCTCCTCTGCCGAGTATGCCCCCCACACCGGACGCGACAACCCCAGCCTCGTCCACCAGCCAGCAGATGGACTCGCCTGGTCCTTCGACTGCTGCTTCCTCTTCGTCCACGTCCCATGCACCGGGGTCTCATGCAGCGACGTCACATTCCTCTTCAGCCTCGTCGGATTCGTCTGATGCGGGCGGTGGTTCTCCTCCGCCGTCACCTCCTCCTCAATTGCGACGATCTCTTCGCAACACTCGAGGTCAGCCGCCACCCAGATTTAATGACTATTTTGCTTACGGGGTTGATGCTTTTGTAGTCCCCACGCGGTATAAGCAGGCACAGGGTGATCCGTTGTGGGAGGCGGCTATGCAAACTGAGATAGATGTTGTGCATGCAAATAAGACGTGGACGGTGGTGGATCGGCCCCCTCCGGAGGTTCCTGTTATAGGCTCTCGGTGGTTATATGCTCTGAAGATGACCCCGGATGGGGAAATTGAACGCCATCGAGCCCGGATTGTCGCGCAAGGTTACACACAGGAACAAGGGATAGACTTTGACGAGAAGATTGCACCGGTGGCTAAAATGGCCACAGTACGTACTCTCCTGGCTGTGGCTTCTGTACGTCAGTGGCCATTGTATCAGCTTGATGTCAAGAACGCGTTCTTGCACGGTGACTTAAAGGAGGTGGTATATCTGGAGAAGCCTCCTGGATACAACGTTGGCTTGCCCGGTCAGGTTTGTCTCCTTCATCGGTCGTTGTATGGACTCAAACAGGCTCCGCGAGCTTGGTTTGAGAAATTTCAGACCACGGTTCAGAAACTGGGGATGCGACAGAGCTTGAGTGACCGTCACTTTTCACTCAGACTACGGCAGCATGTATTGTTGTTCTCCTATTGTATGTTGATGACATGGTGGTCACAGGTGACGATACTCGGGGGATAGCTGCCCTAAAACGTGGACTTCACGAGGCGTTCAAGTTGAAGGATTTAGGTGACCTGTCATATTTTCTCGGGCTTGAGATCACTCGCCAGGACCAGGGTATTTTCATTGGCCAAAGGAAGTATATAGGGGACTTATTGAGTGATCATAACTTTGAAGACTGTCATCCTGTCAGTACCCCAATGGAGCTGAACTTGAAGTTACGACGGGATTCAGGCGATCCATTACCTGATGGGGAGAGATCTCGTTATCGTAGCTTGGTGGGGAGTCTCATTTACTTAGACGCCACCCGACCTGACATTTCCTATGCAGTGCAGATGGTTAGCCAGTTCATGGCAACACCGCATCGTGATCATTTGGCGGCGGCCCATCGGATACTAAGGTACCTGAAAGGTACTCAAGAGGTTGGTATGTTCTTTCCATCGACGGGTTCTCTCGATCTTCGTGCTTTCTCCGATTCAGATTTTGCAGGATGTATTGATACGCGGCGGTCTACCACGGGCTGGTGTGTACAATTTGCGGGCTCGTTCATTTCATGGCGATGCAAGAAACAAGATAAAGTGTCCAAGTCCTCGACGGAGGCTGAGTACAGGGCTCTGTCTGATGTTTGTTCGGAGCTGGTTTGGCTGCACCGTTTACTGGGCGATCTCGGGGTGACGTGTACTCTACCATTCGTCGTCTTGGTGGACAACACGAGTGCCATTCAGATTGCGATTAACCCGGTTCTTCATGATCGTACGAAACATATTGAGCTTCATGTACACTATGTTCGGGATTTGGTGCGCGAAGGTACGGTACAACTTCAGTATCTCAAGACGGAGGAACAAATTGCTGATATCTTCACTAAACCGTTCACCAGTAGTCGTCATTGGTACCTCTCAAGCAAATTGATGCTTCGTTCCCGGCATCAATTTGGGGGAGGCTGTTAGTGTACATTGGGTCGTAAACTTGGGTCACGGAGAATTAAGTGAATAGTGGCCCAAGCCCATGCAACCCTAAGCATACAGACGTAGGGATGCTAGGGTTACAACCCATATATATAGTCTCTTGTACTCCACCGAAAAACCTAAGCCATTATAGTACGATTTTCATCTTGGAGAGTTAACCTCTCCCGTGGATTAGTCCTGGCATTCCAGGGATACCACGTTAAATCCGTGTGTTCATCTTATTCAGTTTCGGTTTATTTAGATTTGCTAACACCAAGGGGGTGCAAAGCACCCCTCCTCTCCAAGTGGCTCCGCCACTGCCAGCACTACCGCCTTCCCAAACTCTGTTGCCCACTCTGTTGTTGTTTCAAGCTGGAAGAGGAGGAAGATGAAGGACAGAGCGGGGAGGGGGAAAGCCCGATGGCCGTGAAAAATAGAGGTCGGGGTAGGATAAAACAACCAAATATATTTCAGTTGTTAAATTAATTATTATTTAAAATTTTACATATGAATTTCCTACGTGGCACCAAATTTAGGTCAGCCGTGACTTCAAGAGTCAACAAAAATTTGCTTAACACAAATGACGTTGAGTCCCAATAAATTGGATTGCAATGATTGAAGTTTTGGATACATATGGCAAATTCGCTAAATAGTGGTATTAGCCTTAATCCATATATGACATTGTAAGCTGTCTGAATATATATATCCTCGAATTATAAATTTCAAGAAGAAAGAAAAATGTATATATCTAGGAATTGTGGACGTCCGAATTGTAGTTGAAACAGTTTCCGAATCCCAATCGGGAGGAACAGGAACGAAGGTTGCTATATCTACATAAACATGCCAATTCCAAATTCCACTCACCATAACACTTACCAAAAACCAACCCAAGGGAGTTCCCGGCGGCGGCATCCTCTCTCTCTCTCCTTCCAGTCTCGTCGGTAATTCATTGTTGCGGAACAGTTCTACACCCGCCATGATGAACGAGGTCGACGGGGCTCCGAAGCTGGTGGCTCTAAAGGATGTCCTGCCGCCGCATCCGGCGAGCTTGAATCGGCGGCGGTACGTTAAAGTGAAAGAACCCATCTTCAGGAATGGCGCCAGGGTCTACTGGAAAGAAGAAGTGTCTCAAGAACAAGAACGGCGTGCTGCCGGCGATGACCAAGACTATGCAGCGGTGGCGTGTCTCAGCGTTCTCTCCTTCATTCTTTCCATCGCTGGGGTTCTTTAGAGTAGCCGAGCCTCAGTTGGGCTGCGTGTTGAGGCTTTGTTTGCATATTATATATGTTCCTTCTTTTTAGGACTGGAACGATCAAGTCCCTGGTCTTTCTTTCGAATTTTTCTAGCCGTGAATACTTTGTACGTTAGGTAATTGTAAGCTCTGTAATGTAGTCCTTATTTCTTGATAACGTTATGGAAGTTGTAATATTCTATCTAGTATCTACATTCTACTAATATCAAGATTAATTTTTTTTTATTTATGGATGAGTTTTGTTAGAACCAAGAGTTGTGATTGAGTTACTTAGACTAGTTTATCGTACAACATCAAATTACCAATATTTTGGGTTATCATATTTTATGGTTCATTTGATCATAAGTGAGTGCTTTGATTAACTTAGTATCACATGAGTTAATGGGTTGCTTAAAGAAATCAAAAGAGAATCTACAAAAGCCTAGCCAAATTGATCCCTACTTAATATCTTAGATTAAATTATGAATCAACTTATAACTAGATATTATAGGCAATAATTAACAATTAATTACGACAAGAATGATGCATAAGTTATATTTTCACCGATAATTTTAAAAAAAAATTGTTGCTCGTACTTTTTCCCGTACGTGTATCATGTGTAGTTACGTGAATGAAATATGAACAAAAGAATTACTCTAGTGACAATGTCACTAGTTTTGTATTTGGAGGTCCCAAGTTGAAAATTCCTTAAATAATACCTATAAAACATAACAAAAAAATCTATATCACTCTTATAAAAATAATTAAGATGCACTAATAACACCAAATTTCATCTTTATTCTAAAATTTAATGATTCGGTGGATCGGTACTAGTTCCACATGATTTCATACTTCATATTCCACCTTCTTTTTCCCATAGTCATAGACTCATAGCCCACCTTCAAAGTAAGGGTGAAAGTTACAAAAGCGCCAATTAGATTCAATCAAACTTCACATACATTTATGATTTTATTAGGGGTAATACCGTATTTTGGCACGAACTATGATCATATAATCAACTTTGGTCCGTGGTTTCAGAAATTGACATAATGTCATCAACTATGCAGCATATAGACTCAGTTGGCCCGACACATGGTTTGACCGCCAATTTGGACATTCAGATTGTTGACCGTTAGTTAACACGCCATGTCATTGCCTCGTCACCCTAAAAATTATTAAAAAAATCAAAATCAAAATCAAATTATTTTTCTAATTTCTATTATTTGTCATTTTCAAATTAACCAAAAAATTAAATTTTAAATTTTAAAAATAATTTGATAATTTTTGGTTAATTTATAAAATTTATCATTTTCAAACCCAAAAAATAACATTTTAAATAAAATTTATTATATATTTTTATAATTTGGTTAATTTGATAATGATAATTAATAGAAATTAGAAAAATAATTTCAATTTGAATGTTTTAAATGATTTTTATGTTGACGAGGCAATGACATGGCGTGTTGATTAACGGTCGACGATGTTGACCGTCCAAATTGACAGTCAAAGCATGTGTCGGGCCAATTAAGTCTATATGTTGCATAGTTGAGACCAAGATGTTAATTTCTGAAACCACGGGACAAAGTTAATTATATGGTCATAGTTCGAGATTTCGAGTCAAAATAAGGTATTAAGTATTAACTCATTTAACGACCGTTTTGGACGACTTTGGGCTTCTAAGTGGGCTATTTTTGGAGGTAATAAGAACAACAGAATAAGAGCCCAAGAGGAAGGCCCATTTTGATAGTAAACGCCCCAACTTTATTCCGTGGAATTCGATATTCCCCCACCGTCTCGTTTCGCCACCAAGAGGAAAGTGTCGACGAATGACGACGATGAAGCTCCAGCGATGGCGGGATCTAGCCATCTCAATGAACCGCTCATCTCGTACCGCACCGTTTCTCAACCTGCGTTTTCTGCACGAAGGCCCTGACACCGTGGAGGAACTCTTCGAGCGACACACGGCGGCGAAGAAGCAGAAGTCGTCGTCAATCCTCGACGACGAGGAAGAAGAACTCCTGAACCGGCGGCGGCTCACCAGCACGCGCCGGGAGGCGCTGCACCTGTACAGGGACATCCTGAGAGCCACGCGATTCTTCGCGTGGCCGGACGCTCGCGGCGTGCCGTGGAGGGATGTACTGAGAGAAAACGCGAGGAAGGAATTCGAGGCGGCTCGGTTCGAGAAGGATCCCGAGATCGTGACGCGGCTGCTAATCAACGGCCGCGATGCCGTGGAATCGGCTCTGGAGAAGCTCGCCGAGAAGCAGCGGCAGCAGATTGAGAAGGAGCGCGGCGGCGGAGATGGCGGTGGTGGTGGTGGATACGGCCGGTTCTAAATTCTCAGTACGGTTCTGATTCCGGTAAATTAGAGAGTCTTACTGTCTTTTTTAGGTCTGCAATTTGTTGTATTCTTCTCTTTTGGTATCTCTCTGTAAGCTATACATAGGAATGTGTTCTTTGTGGAGGTGAGTGACTTCTGTATGCTAATGGGTTCCAAAGTAACACACAAAGAGCTTCTAGCATTGCAGAATTGCTAATTTGATTTGCCTGTTTTGATATGATATTAGTAGCATCGAATTGGTGACTCTGGCTGCGGCATTCAATGGTAGATTTGGTGAATTGTTCATTCTTCAATACACCAGGCTAATCATGTTGGATCTCCGCCATTTTATTTTGACTGTCTCCAAGAGATCGAGGAAGAGGAATGTGGCAAAGATTTTGGCAACAATGGTTACTTGGTGACTCAGTTGGCATTGTGTTTGTGAGATAAAAAGCCAGAAGACTCATGGCTTTTGGTAATATGTCAAGCCGAATCCAGACTAAGCTGGTGAGTGAGAATTGAAGAAGAGTGGTTGTTTCCATTTAGAAAATTCTGATTGTAGAGAACTGCAACTGCTAGTTCGCTACTGACATTTTTTACAAAGGTCTCTCTCGAGGATTGCGGTTGCACAAAAGCTGTGCTTAAATGTCAGTGCCCTGGAGTTGTACTTTGGCAGCTACAGTTGTAGAGATTGATGATATTGTTCACTCCTAGAGAGATACTCCAGTTTCCCGCTTGTCTCGTATGATGAGCTGTTGAATTGTGGAAGGGTTTCTGGCAATGGTGGAAGTCAGGCAGTTGAAGCTATATAAGGGAAATTGCTTAAAGTTGATGCTTGCATTTCCTGTTCTGATCATGTTGACAGCAGATCTTCTAGCGAATGACATTGGCCTTTAGGGATCTTCTCATTTCCTAAGCTGCAGCATCATGGACTCTTCTCTGGTTTGGTGGAAGTGCTTTCTTGGAGGGCAGAGCATTTCTCTGCAAGCATTTCCTGGTCAGCCTTCTGAATTCAGACATTTGATAGTCTTGTTTCTGTGTTGTTTCGTTCGCGCTGGTCTCTGCGTTCCCAGTTGCCAAGGTGAACATCAGTGCTGCGACCTGCACGAACGAAGAATACATGGTAAGTTAGGATTTCAGTCAAACCTATGGGTGATTTGTGTGGGTTCTGGAGCAGAAAGCCTGGTCCCATTAGACTAACGTTTGCCCGGAAGAAGCAATCATTGCTTTGTTTACTTGCAGAAGGGTTAGTCATGGCTTTTGGTAAGCATAACAGACTACTGGTGCCATTAGTCTAACGTTGGCCCGGAAGAATCGAATCGGTGACTGGTATGCTTACCATTTTGCAGGTAGCTGTTCTATGATCAGGAGGGGACAAGTAGGGCAGCAGTATCTAACCACTTCTCATCACTAATCTCTCATCAATTACGTATTCAGCACTAAATTTTTTCATATAATCATTCATGATTCATCCCCCAAAGATGGATCTGTCATTTGTTTATCTATAAAGGAGAAGAAGAGAAACACAATGGCGAGCAAGCTAAGAGAATATTCATGCGATAGGGTACATTAATTATTGTGACAGAATTGCCCACTATTTCATTAATTAGTGCCCCGGTAAACTAGTAGGGTAAATTGATTATTCCAACGCAAGTTAGGCAATTTTTCCCAATACGATCAGCTACTAGCTAGCCTCTCAAACTGAGCAAAGGGTTAGGGGAGGGAGGATCTGGAGTGCTTAGTCAGTTGACTAAGTAGCAAATGGAACAAACCGCAGGCCTGCACTCTTAAACTTAACACTGACGCAGGGATGATAGGCAGAGGAGAATGGGGACTAGGCTGTGTTTTGAGGGACTGGAATGTAAGAATGTTTGTTGCTGCAAACAAAAGAGTTAAAGCTGGATGTCCACCTGATGTTGTTGAGGCGATGGCTATTCTGTTCGGATTGCAGATGATTACAGGGATGGAAGGAGAGACGATAGTGGTGGAATCAGATGGCAAGAAAGTGATAAAGCTGCTGAATCACGAAGACAGTTGCAGAACGGAACTTGGGAGCGTTTGTAGTAATATCAGGGAGATGGCCACACAGCTGAATATCAAAGAAAGGAGGTTTACATTTAGAGAGTCAAATATTGTGGCTCATCGGATTGCTCATTTTTCATTAGCTTCTGAAGTAGTGACTGTTTGGAGGGATAGACCACCCGTTGAGATTGCAGACATTGTAGCCCTAGAGGCATCTTTTACTTAATCTTAATGCATCCCACCATTTGAGCCTAAAAAAAAAAAAAAGTTCCTCGCAGTTTTTAATCTGAACACACCAATCTGACGGTTAAAAAATGAAAATGACTTTTAAATTAATGACAGGGGTAGTTTGGGTATTATGAAAATTTACAAAGTATACACACCGGACTTATAAATAGTACCAAACATACGAACAATACAAATTAGAGCGACAAAACATGCAAACAGATTTACAAACAATACGAAACATACGAACTATACAAACAATGCAAACTTGACCAACAAACACTACAAAACATACAAACAATACAAAATGTCACTACTTACAATACAAAACAGGAACTTGTATTACAAATCAATGAATACAAATCACAACATAAAGTATACAAACATTACAAATTACAATGCATACAAATTAGTCATATAAACATTACAAACATAATAGATAAAAATGACAAAGTTGAATGATAAACGATACAAATCGAATGAATACAAAATCACAAAACATACTTACAAACATTACAAAAATGTTAGACAAACATCCATCTCTCTCTCCTCTGTGGGGCTCAAGAATGGAACGCCTGTGGGACTAAAGCCTATTCCCCTCTTCATATGTTGTCACTATCCTCTTCATAGTCCCCCTTTCATGTTTCTTATTCAGAAAGAAGAAACGAGTTTTATAGTCAGCAAAGAATATAAGAGATACTATCAGTCCATTCTTACTCACTTAAATCACCGGTAAATTTTCAGCATTCACTTCCTTCCTCACTAATGCTAAGATGTCTTCAACACATAATAGGAATAGCTTCAATAGAATGATTCAGAGTTCTTGCATAGTGGAACCATGCAGTACCATATGCGAGATAGATCTTCCAAAGAACAAGTTTTTTTTTTCCGAATAAGCCAATCCGTTTAGAATCCCGTAGGTCCACTCTTTTTCATATTCAAAGATTAGCCCTTTGTCTCTGTGTTTGACATCGAGAATTCTTTGCAGATGAATAGATGTCAAAGGGGCTTCTTACTTCCTAAACATATCTCGTGAAGGTTGTATAATCCCGGTCTAGTGTCCATTTACCAATGTTGAGTATGTTACTATTGTAACACACTGCATAATTAGTTTAACCCACCTTTCTTACCATCCCAACTTCAACATATTGGCTTCAGGAAAGTCCATTCAACCCTATCATAGACTTTGGTGATATCCAACTTTGCTACCACAAACCCTTTCTTGTCTTCCTTCTTATTATTTTATTGCGGTGAAGCATTTAAAAGCAACCACGATATTTTTTTTTTTTTTGCAATGTTTCTGCCTGATACAATAGCTCTTTGCGTGTTTGTCATCACAGTCTCAAATTTTTTTTTCAATCATACACTTTGAATAGGATTTTGCACATAACTTTGCATAAACTAATCGGTCTGAACTCTTTTGATCAGTTTGTGCTCTTTGTTTTTTGAGGAGCAGGGCTAGTAGGGTATGATATATAGATTGCCGGAATCACTCCTCGTAGAAAACCCCATAATTTCCTCGTGACCACTTTCCCAACAATCTGTCAATTTTTCTGAAAAGAATAAGACATGCATTTCATCCGAGCCCGATCCTTTGGTTGGTGCCATATGTCTTAATGCTTACCATATTTCCTTTGAGCTGACATTGGATTGGAGAAGCTTGGGGCCAACATCTCATGAAAACAAAACTTATTTGTTACATAGTAACTGTTTGGATCGCCGCGGATGATCTCTACCATACAACCGGCGGATAATAGGGCATAGCAAATCCTTCATCAGAATCATTCAGTCCAACAAAATTATGGTGCTGTCTGTCTGCCCAGTGCCCACAGAACGCCAGCGCCGCATAAAAACGAAGTCGTAAATCCAATGCAAATGACGAAATACCCCCTCCGCTTCCGATTCGTTCACTCTTCAGAAGTGTCTTGTTTGGCGGACACTATAAATACCGAGATCCCAGTTGCAGAATCCCTTTCTTCTCACTATACAACAGAGAGAGCCCTTCCAGATTTTTTTTTTTTTTGCACGAGAGCTCCTCTCTCTGCCGCGATTCTTCAAAATCAACCGAGCAGACAAATTCCTTTAGCAAAACTTCGCAGATTCGAAGAACCGGTATAGCTGCTGCGGCGGCGGCGGGTGAACCCCGGCGCTTCTTCGAGCTTCTCGAGCGAAGGGGAAAAAATGGCGAAGTTGAGGCACTCGCGATTGCACTCGAAGAAATGGTCGACAATCAAGCTGGTTTTCTCCATGCTCTTTATGCTCTCGTTCGTTCTCCTGATTCTCCTAGGCTTGGGAATCTTCTCGCTCCCTGTGAGCACCGACGATTCGACTCCTAAGGATCTGCCTGCTTCCTACCGCCGCATGGCCGCCGAACGGTAAGCGAGAGCGAGAGAGAGCGCGGCGGCGCTGGTCTGTGATTGCTTGAGTTTCAGTTGACTAGGTTTCGATTCGATGTGCTGAATTTTTTTGTTTGAAACGGTTTTGCGTTGGTGCAGAGATGGCGACGGGCTAGGTAAGCGAGGCGAGCAGTGGACTGAGATCGTTTCTTGGGAGCCTAGAGCCTTCGTGTATCACAATTTCTTGGTGAGTTCATTTTCCGAGCCATAGATTCATCATTCGTGTGGTTAACTGAATTCGCTAGTATGTCATTCGTTTGAGCTACAGCTGATTCAAATCTAGCTTTCTTACGGCTCAGCTCTCGATTCATAGAACGAGTTCGCTCGCTAGTGTAAGAGTTCCTTAGTAATAGGATTCTTGAGTTCTGGTTAGTTTGAGCTGTTAGCTGATTCAAGCGTAATCCTCTAACTACTGCGATTTCCCTGTAGCTTCTATGCGCTTTTGCTTTAGAGTAACGTAGGTGGAGAAAATTTCATTCATTGGAAAATGAATCTGTCTGGCTGAGCCGATGGATCCATTTTCTAGTTTCAGTATTCGTTTTCATAGATTTGATTTTGCTAGCTTGGGATCCATCTTCTCGGTTCAGCATTTATTTCATATATTTGAGTTTGCTAGTAGGAGATTTTATAGAAGAAAAAATCCTCAAGGTTTTTTCTTTCTTTCTCACTTCAAGCTGCTTGTTCCAGTATGATCTTCTGGCTTCAGCTTTTGTGCATAGATCGAGTTTTAAAAATATAAGATTTACAAAGAGGAAGAATGTTCTGCTTGTAGTTTTGAGCTGCAGTTGATTCAATCTAATCTTCGCTTATTTCTGCTTCTTTTTTTTCCCCCTTTTCTAGTGGACTTATAGGTTGGTGCTTCCCTTTCTTTAGATTAATGTAGATTGAGGAAAGTTCAATTGATTAGACACTTTCTTTCCCCTTGTGTGGAGTTCTTCTATGCTGTTCAGTCGCATTGCCTTGTTCTATGTTCATTACTTCCAGTAATAGTGATTTTTAATTCTGGATTCCAATTTCGACAGTCCAAAGAAGAATGCGAGTACCTAATCTCTCTAGCTAAGCCTCACATGACAAAATCAACCGTGGTGGACAGCAAAACAGGGAAGAGTAAAGATAGCAGGTGCTGTTATCTACATGTCCTGAATACCATTAGGCAGATCTAGGCAATGTTTGGAATACCGCTTAGTTTGTGCCTTCTTGAGATTCAGTTAAATAGTTAGTTATGTGGACACTTGGAAAACTATTTTTTCTTGCAGGGTTCGCACAAGCTCAGGGATGTTTCTCAGCAGAGGACAGGATAAAATCATTAGGGCTATAGAGAAGAGGATCTCAGAGTTCACTTTTATTCCTGTAGGTACGACGCGTCTTAAGTGTTAGAGAGGGTTCATAAAATTAGGGCTTACTATAATGAAAGGTCATGGGTCTAACTCTAAACAATCATTATCTATTTTTTCCAATATCACTAACTCATACATCCTGAATAATTTCCAGTGTCCCCTAGATTGTGCACCTTTTTGCTTCATTGAAATAGTTCCATTATATTCAGACAATGGTTAAGAACTTCATTGAATCTTAGTTCATTTTACACTAGACTTCCTGTCATAAATGATGATATAATTGAAAGCCTACTCAGCTCTATGTTTCCCATACCAATGTTGTCCTCTTCATAAACCATATCCCATTTCTCTGCTATTGTCAGTCATTGAATGAGTTCCATGCCATGATATATTGCAGAAAATGGTGAAGGCCTCCAAATCCTCCACTACGAGATCGGTCAGAAGTATGAGCCTCACTTTGATTATTTCCTTGATGAGTTCAACACCAAGAATGGAGGCCAGCGGACTGCTACTCTGCTAATGTATCTGTGAGTGTTGATCCTTCCTTCGGGTCCCATGTTCCATTGCTCTGTTTGACATGCTTAGCTACATTCCAAATGTTATTGTGATTTTGTATTCACGGTTCTCTGGCCCTTCCGATCCAGGTCAGACGTCGAAGAAGGAGGCGAGACTATCTTTCCTAGTGCCAAGGCGAATTCCAGTTCGGTGCCATGGTGGGATGAATTGTCTGAATGTGGTAAAAAGGGCCTTTCCCTGAAACCGAAGAGGGGGAATGCCTTGTTCTTTTGGAGTACAAGGCCCGATGCCTCATTAGATCCTTCCAGTTTACATGGTATTTTGATTCATTGGTTCGCAAAGCTGTCGGAAGAAAAGAGAAATCAAGTCCTTAGTTGTATCCATCTTTTTTTTTATCAGGGGCTAGTTGAAAAGAATTTCATTCCTCCCTTGGTTTTCTGAATTGCATTTCGTTTGTTCCTTTCCAGGTAGTTGCCCAGTGATTATAGGGAACAAATGGTCAGCTACAAAATGGATGCACCTCGGAGAATACAAGGCCAGATAAAAGGTAACTGCTTTTTCTTAGTGGACGTTTCTCTCTAGTTTGAAGCAAGCTCAAAGTTCACTTGCCGCTCTTAGAAAATTGGGAATTCCATCATTTTGGGTTCTCACTTTTGAAACAAATAGTGGAATCTGTTGATTTCCTTCGCTCTTGAATTTGAAACACAGTTTCATCTTTCTTTTGTTGGTAGAAAATTTCATCTTTCAATTCATTCATCCAAACCACGCCTTAAATTCTAGCAGCCGATTTGGCTAGAGAGTAATGTCATTAGCTATTACCCGTGAAGAATACTCCAAATCTCTTTAGCAACACATTTCCTGGTTATTAATCCCGAAACGAGCGGATTTCTGAGCTTCTAATTACATTTGCAGACTTCCTTTTCATCGCGCTATTAATTTTTTTTTGGTAATGACAATACGTGACAGTTTGACACACAATCAGCAGTTTGTGACAGTTCCTCTAACAAAAGTATGACTGATCTAATTTCTTTCAGCTGCAGAGGTTGGTGTAGATTGTAGACCGCTTCATTCAGAGAAGAGCCACCATACAGAGTTTTTGCTCCATTTTGAATAATTTTATTTGTCTTTTGGTTCCGCCCGACCAGGGGTTTGTGGGTGTTGTTAGATGTTGAGAAAATGTTGTATACTAATTGTTGTTTATTAATGTATTAGGGATCCAATGTTGCTAGCTCGCTTACACCATCTTACTGTACAGCAACAAATGGAAAACTTCGCCCGTGATCAAAATACATATACACCCTGGATCGTTACCAACTCATTGTCTTGTGACGCCTGAGGTAATGATTTCGGCGCTTTACCAAACTCTTGGTTCAACAGTTACGATTAATCGTCAGAGTCAAAGTCAGGTTGTGCTTTATTTTCAGCCTTCCTGACAGTTGCCCTAGTTCGGTTCACCCCATCGAATTGCCAACGTACAGCTAAAAAGTGAAAACCCAACAAATAAATAAACACACGCACATTCTAGAGCCAGGGTGAAATGAAGATTGCAACCAAAGAGGGCACTAATCAGCAGCCCTTAGGGAAAGGTAGGCAACGCAAGGACTTTGTAGTTTGTATACTCTGGTGACTTGCTGGCGACAGCAGCAACGAATCTCACGGAAGAAAGGCACTACGCGGTGCGCAAAAACATCATGCCCCTACAACAAGCAACCAAGAGATTCATGTGTGTTGGAGGGGAGACGATGAAAAAAAAGCTTAACCTCTGGAATCTTTCTATTCTTAATAAAAAATATTATATTGCCCATAAAAAAATTATAATAAATTAATTAATTCCGTCCACCTTTCTGAACATGAGGCAGCATAGTTTCATATGAAGTGAAGAGGGAAGAGGAGGGATTAAGCAGGCAGCTTATTTTTCCATCCATCTTTTAGACCCTCTATCACTCTATCCATCAAACTAAGGAATAAGGACTAGAGCAATTCTTTTTCGCCTGTTTCCACGGGTGCATATGTTTAAATTTAAAAACCTGGTGATTGTGATAACGATTTTGATGAAAACAAATTAAACGAACAAAGCCAAGTGGCAAGAGAAAGCTATATCGCTCTTACCTCTGTAGAGACCGACCTCATAGAAGGTACTCTAGCAGTTCCATGTCGATGACTCTGAAAACGTGTTCAATGACCTGGTATTGATTGATTTTGCCCCACTAGCTCTGGCATAATGTCTGAACCTCATGATGCAGTCATCACCTTTTTCTGCACAACAGTTATTCATATGCAAAGGATTAGCTCCTTTCTTCTATCTCAGTAGCCAATACCAAAGAGGCTGGCATATCTAACAACAGATCATCAGATGCTAAACACATTTCTATAATTGCAATCCCTTCTGTGGATATTATTAAGGATTGTAAGTTAAGCAATTAAGCAGCAGGGAGGAATATAGACAGAAGTACCGTCTCTGTGCTCATTTTACGGAGCTGGATTAGCATCTTCTCAAAATCAGGGGGAGGAGGGCATGAGAAATGTATTTCTTTCCCTGTACGTGGATGGTTAAACCTACGAAAACAAATGGCCGAGATAATTACTGCCTTCTCAGTCTGTGGTGTTTGTGTAGGTGAATCAAATGATGCATGCCACACAACGATATGTTTCAATGGTCTTACCCAAGGGAGAAAGCATGCAGGCAAGGCCTATCTAACTCCGAAAGCAACTCTAGAAGTCGACCATGGTAGCTTGGAGATAGTTTGGGTTGAAGCAGCGACAGAGCCATGCTTCTGGTCGCTCCATAGACTTCGTCACCTAGCAATGGGCATCCGATATATTTGGCATGTGCACGAATCTTCCAAGAGAAAAAGAGAAAGTGAGAAAGATGGATTACATGGAAGATTTATCATCAAGTTGCAGGACACAAGTCATTGAAGGTAATAAAGTGAATGAATTAAGATGATGAGTACCTGGTGAGTACGCCCAGTTTCTAGTTTCCACTCAACTAATGCTGAACCACCACCAGCAAGAGTATCGATCACCTTATACCTGATCAATGTTCAACAAACTTCATAAACATTGAGTTGACCATATGCATCATTTGTTAAGCGAACGAAAGGAAGAATCACTACAGTACCTCAATAATTAGGAGTAAGGGTCACTTGTTACAGACATCTATATGCTTATCTAGAGATCTTTGTTTTAATAACGATGGACATGCTCTATTATTCTATGCAGAAAGACCAGACGCAAGATACATACAAACTGAATAAGCCAGCAGGGTCCTCAAATTGGTTAATATTTTCGCTTTGACATAAAGCCTGTCAAGCACACATTGTTCATAGAAACTATTTCAGGTAAAAGTAAACACAGTAAGGAACTTAATAAGTTACACAGTATTAGTATCTACTAGCAATAAACGTACATGTTATTTATTATTTAAGAAAACATAAGTGCAAGCAAGCACACCAGCAGAGTGTCGACATAGAAAGAGAGAATACGTAGCAGCTAGAAAGACAAGACAAGAGCAAGGAACGGAGACAAGGGAAACAGGGAAGGGGAGCTAAAAATTGGGAAACAAGGGGATCCATGGCGGCAAAACAAGCTCAGCACTTTCTGCTGCAGAAATGCAGCAGCCCCATAATCAAACCCCAAGCAAAAGGTTGTAACTGATCCTGCGAGCTCCTATTGAGTGGGACAACAATGTGCGGTGCAGCAAGCCTAACATCTGTATGATGATCTAGGGATTTTCACTTTGTTAATGATTGATGAAGTTGATTGCACAAAAATGCCAAGGTTCTTAAAAGGGCCAGGAACCAAGGATCCTATGAACAACCTAGGTTAATCTCTTTTTTCTGACATGAAACCGAACCAGGGAGCATTCACATTGTTCCCCAGAAACTGTTCGAGGCATGCATACTCAGCGACCAACCGAAAGCTACACTACAATCATAATGGCCCTATTACCTAAAGATTATAGAACCAGTTTAATGACAATATCATCATCACAAGGAAGGCAGGATTAGAGAAACCAATCACCTACTAGCAGCATGACGGGCCTTCCCTCTGGCCATTGGTCCAGTGATAGCAGCCATGCGAATCCTGTTATGGACATCACGGCCAATTGGAACGTCTACTCGTCCAGATACCGGTGAAGGGACACCGGCAGTAAGACTCAAGTACACTCTTCTGATGGTACGTTGCTTGAATTGTTCAGACAAGTGAGCATGCGAATGTTCGTCCTACCAACGACAACAAAAATTCCAGCAGTTTAGAAGAAAGCATTATGTCTATTCCCCTAAACCTATAGCCAGGACAACGAAATTCACCTTAGCGACTACAAGTAATCCACTGGTGCCTTTGTCCAATCTATGCACGATTCCAGGCCGAATAGATGCTGCATTCGAGCTGGAAGCTAGATCTTCATCATCGGAAAGATCCTCTAGATCTGTGATAATTTCCTGATTTGAAGACGCGAGTCCTGGAAGACTGCAGTGGTGAAGAATCCCGTTCACGAGCGTTCCCGTAGGATTTCCAGGCGCCGGATGAACGACCTGGTGAATCGAACAGTGCGAAACAGCATAATTTCTGCTCAGGAAATTTTGAAGCCGAAAAAACGAGATTCCTTGAGGAAATTTCTTGCTGAAGTCAGGAGTAGTTACCATATCTGCAGGTTTATTAACAACGAGAACGTGTTCGTCTTCGTAAACTATATCCAACGGTATGTTCTCCGGCTGAGCTCTCAGCGGCTGGAGCTCCGAGATTGTGCAGCGGATCTCATCTCCGCCTCTAACGTTATACGAAGCCTGCTCAAATCATATCGGAGAGACTAATTCTCATGAACAAAACTCAAATCGAAGCGAACTCCAGAAGCGGATTCTGAAGCTCGAGGATACGAATTCGAATATTTCGAAACGAGCGAGAAATCGGACCTTATCGACGACCTTGCCATTGACGCTGACGAGACCGGTCTTGATACTGGACTGGACGCGAGCTCTACTGATTCCGGAAATCCGAGTAGAGATCCAGGAATCGAGCCGGAGCTTTCCGGAACCAGTCTCGACGGTCTCGTCCAATCTCGTGCCGGCGTAATTGCTCCGCGGAGTCGCGTTCTCGCCGGGGGAGGAGGCGGAAGTCGAGCAGCAACGAGCTGAGAGGAATCTGGCGAGGAACTCCGGACGAAATCGCCTAGGGTTCCGATTGAAGGAGGAGGAAGAGAAAAACGGCGAGGATTGCGGAGGAACAACAGAGCGCGGCGAGACGAGCATCGTTGTTTTCTTTCCACTGTGAACGCCGAAATGAGGAACAGAGGAAATGGTATCGCCTGAGGGCTGAGTCCCACTTTAGCGGAAAAAGATAATTCTTCTGAACTGGAAATCTGGAATGGGCAGATGGCGCCATTACAAGTTGTTACCCTAATAACAACTAGAATGTTAGCGGTCTATTTGGTCCTTCAATTACAAGTTAATAGATTCATCTGTCATTCATTCTCTATCAAAATACCAAAATAATACAATTCTAAACTCCTTAAATTCACGTTTGTGATTCAATGAAGACATATACATCTACAATTCCCCATAAAAAAAAAAGACATATACGTCGCTTCTTAAACCTAATTTTCCTAATCGTTTACACTTTGTTATGTTTAACATACATTTTGTGGTTAGTTTATGACATATGATGTATATATATATTCAATGTTCGAGCTTTAAATTATACATATTTTTAACTTAATTACATTAATTTTAAACTAAATTTGTGTGTAAAGTGTGGTTATGAATTATTCATTAGTATCTGGAAAATGTGAGACGTTTGATAAAAAAGAATTCCAATCACAAAAAATGGGAGAGCATGAATTTAGAAATTGTAAATAGGAATGATGATGGGTTCAACAAAACCCTACACTCTACCAACCCTAGGTATTAAAACCTTAAGATGTATTGAACAATGGCACTCGAACCAAATTTACATATGCTGACCGTAATGAAATATGTGACCATATTATGCACTTATATACATTTTCTCATTACTGAAGACATCTTTTCATTTTAGTTCAGAAGTCAAATTATTGGGGAAAGAACAAGACTTCAATTTCCTCTTCATATAAATGTTAATAAACATAAAATAACTTGTGCATCTTCATCCAAACTTTATCTCTAAGATCCTGCATTTCCTTTTCTCATCATGGCTACAAATTCCTCATAGTTGATCTTGCCATCCTAACAAAAGCCACATAATATATCATAAAATCAATAATGTGGTTTTTATCATTCATACTTGCCAGTGTATATTTCAAACAACTTATAATAAAACGCAAACATAATCGTTAGTTTATAGCAAAATAACTTTAATAACTTCGTAAAGATGCTATTACCTTATCGATATCAACATCATCTAAGATCTCATTGATGGTATCTTCATCACCCATACCATATTGTGACATGGCATGTCTAAGCTCATCTCTTGTGATAAACCTGGAAATTCCCACCAATAAACCAAACACCACAAGAACAAGTTCATTGGGTTAATTACATAAACGGTCACAGAACTTTGGCGCCACTAACAATTTAGCCCTCGAACTATAAAGTTTTAACAAATTCACTTACCCACTTCCATCCTTGTCAAAGTACTGGAAGGCTTCGAACAAGTGCTCTTCCTTCTCCAGCCTCTGCCGATGCATTGTTGCCGTTATGAACTCGACGTAGTCGATCGTCCCATTCTTGTCTACATCGGCCTGAAAGAGATAGAACGGTAAATAATTTTTACTTAAGAAGCAAAAGCTATATAAAGTTACTGAGTTTAAGTCTGTTTAACTTACAGCATCCATTAGCTGCTTCATTTCTGCTTCAGAGAGCTTGGATCCTAGCCTCGTCAACCCAGCTTTGAGCTCGTCGTAAGTGATGGTTCCACTTCCATCTGTGTCCATGTTCTTGAACATCTGTTTCAAGCCCTTGATTTCTTCTTCGGAAAGGTTCTCTGCTATTACCTTCAGGTATACATCATACAATGAGCTCCAATCAATCATTAGTACTGAAATTATCGTGGTATATATGAATTCGAGACCTCTTAGTGGATGGAGGGTCTAGTTTGTTCAAACTAGTGTTGTTAAAACCGGACCGAGCTGCTCGGTCTGACCGGTAAAATTGGGACGCGGTCATCAGCTCGGTCCGGGGTGTTATCTAACCGTTTATTTTGAACCGATTCGTTAGATAATGATTCGAATGGTTAACTGTTCAAATCGGACGAACCAAGCAGTCAGATCAAAACATCTTATCGACAAAATTAAAAAAAATCGAAAGTTCAAACTTCAAACTATAACTAGCTCTCTATAGGAGGTACGAGGAAAATGTATCACACGGTTTTAGATGACTTGGGATCGAGACTGGGATTGAAATTGCATTGGATCAATTCTTGTTGTCTATTTCTCTTGTTTCCAATGAATCAAATCAACCACACGTATTCCTCAACACAATTATATGCGAGCTGAAATAGAATCGGAGTATGCATGTGTGCAATGACGGTCCAATCTAAATATCGATTTGGTTTGATTCTATACTGAACTGTTGTGCAGTTTGGATAAAAGGGGCGTAATCCAAAAAAAAAAAAAACAATAAAAAAGAAGAAGCATATACCTTCAAAGCAAGCTTCTTCATCTTGTTCATGGCTCTAAGCTGCTTCATCCTTGACAAAACAGCACTGTCAATTGGCTTATCAGAAGCGTCCCCGCCCACTTTCAACCATGGATGCTCTGTTTCAAATCACAGATAATCATCAAGCTCAATCTTTTTGGAAAATAACTTCCTAAAAAAATTCTGTCTACTTAAAGAGCTAATATATATAGCTGCAAACTGCAAAGTACTTTAATTACCAAGTGCTTGAGCAGCAGTAATCCGTTTCCTAGGGTCTCTTGCCAGCATTTTGCTAATGAGGTCCTTGGCTGAATCCGAAATCTTGGGCCATGGTGTGCTCTGCAAGTCCAGATTCGTCTCCAGAATTGCGTCGAATATCCCTTTCTCGGTCTCTATGAACACAACAAGAACAATGTGTACAGATTATTCGTCATATTTTTGTTTCATTTTAGTCTCCCAGCCAGCATAGATTGTTCGTAGAGGTGAATTTATTTCTTCTACCAAACCAAATCAATGAATTCGATTTTCACAGGAAGTGAACTGTTATCGATTATGGTGTGATTGGACAATCATTAGCCATCAATCTTTTATTAGAGTATATGTAGTACGAGTAGTATTATGTTATACTACGAGTACTGTTATGTAATTGGGCAGAATTATATTCCTTAATATAATCGTATTAGTGTTAGGGTTATTATAGAAGTCAGTCTCTGTACTCTATATAAACTCTACGTGATATCAGTAATAAGACAATAGTTTCCACCGTATTCTGATTTACCAACACCCATCACCCCATATAACCTATAGCTTGTATATAGAATTTCATTGATTTGGAACTAATATATCTATGATTCGTCAACTTATAAATCCATCATTCATTATTTTTCATCCTTCGCCTTATGAAACTCGTTTGTCTCGACTTAGGGGTCGTTTGGAGAACATGATTTAGAGTGTGGATTCATTGAATTCATAGATTTTGTAAAAAGTTATGTTTTTTTTGTTGCTTTTCGTATTGTGGATTTTAGATTTAGAGATTTCAAATCTTTGAAATCTACGGATATCAAATCTCTCATAATAAGAGAGATTTTATATTTTCAACCCGTATAGATTGTCAACAATCTATATATTTAAACTCGTATTCTCCAAACGACCCCTTACTATATAGTGAAACTTTTTTATCGGTACTATACGATGAATGATATGATCTCAATTTGGCCATTAAAATGATGGGAATTGATCGTTCATGAAGGCAATCTAAACACATTAGAAAATACTGATTTTGGTCTAAGTGTTTGTGACGATTTCAGGTACCCACTTTAAACGTTGTTAGGAATTACTAGGTCTATTTAAGAGGAGTTGATTCATTGTAATAGTCAGTTTTTCGGATCAATTGAATACAAAGTTGAGCTTTGGTTCATCTCGCTAGTTGCGTGAGGAATTGAGTTGGATTGCTTGGACGATTCTAAGCAATCGTGCGCTTGTATCGATCAATTCAACACCTTGATCGTAGCCAAGCATTGACCTATCTATTTCGAGCCTTTCTCCGCGTGAAGAATTGCACGAAATTGACCGTTTTCATCATTCGAATCATCCATAGTTGCTGAGTTGGGATTGAGTCAAGCTCAACTCGTTTGCTGCGAGATTCTGAGCCTAAAGACCCTATCCTGGGCCTTATCAATGAAATTTGTTTATTCTTAACTCACATTCCAAGTAATTTAATTAACATTCTAATTCCAAACAAACAGTAAAATTTCAACAAATTTTGTAACAAAATTTATTTTTTGAGAAATTGAGTATGTTATTCTTGTGTCCAAGTCCAACTAAAAGTGGGAGAATCAAAATTGCGCAGCCTTACCAGCCCAAAATGGAGGAAACCCGCTTAGAAGTATGTACAAGATAATTCCAGCACTCCACACGTCTATTTCTTTTCCGTAGCTTCTTCTCAACACTTCTGGAGCCACATAATATGCACTCCCAACAAGTTCTTTGTATACTTTTCCTGCATACAAAGCAAAGAATCCGAATATCAATCCACTTACTTATCCCGAAATCACGAACCGATAAAATAACACGAGACATTACATAATTCAAAACAGAACTTATTTTAAGTGTAAGTGAGTAAGTATCAGGTATCATAGGCCGTATTTTTAGTTTATGATGGAAACAAAATAATTATTTGAAGACTTTTAACCGGTTTGGTATTCGGTTAACTGAGAAAAACAAAAATTGCTACAGGAGCCTTAGTCACTGCTAATCGTTCTCTTTTTTTTCACATTGTCTCTGCTGCATAAGTGATTTCCCTTGGTTCGGTATTTGATTAACCGAGAAAAAAGAAAATTGCTTTGGGATTCCTAGTCACTACCAACCATTATGCTTTTTCACATCATCTATGTAAAATAAGTGATTTCTCTCGATTCAGTTTTTGGTTATCTAAGAAAATGAAAATTGTTTCAGGAGTTATTGTCACTACCAACCATTCTTTTTCTTTTTCACTCTATTTATACAACAATGATTTCTCTCAATTCGGTATTTGATTATCCGTGAAACCGAAAATTACTTTAGGAACTCTGGTCACTACCAACCATTCTCCTTTTTCACACTCTCTATGCAATGTTGCATTATTAACTAGTCACTATCACATCGTGTGGAAACAAAGAAGAAGAAAAAAAACCTACAAAACCCTACTTCTAGAAAACTTTGCTTATCCTGTCCAAAAATGGTTGACTTGGTTGACCTGGTCGCCTCTCACTTGACTTTGCTGCAGCTGACCCATCATGCCAACGTGAGAATTAAGTTGCCCCATGTCTCTTTCAACCACCCGTAGTGTACAAGCAAATGAAAATCAACCTCGTAGAGAGAGATTTTTTTTTTTTTTTTAGTTATTATAAACTTCATCCCTTTTGCATATGTTTTGTCTCCTAATCAATCCCTTTTCACAACTAACATGAATTGAGGTGAATCGATCACATCGAGTCGACGAGCAAACATTTTAATTCAACTTATAACGAGTTAAGATGAATCCAGCAGAGCACAAAAGTACTAAGCATAAGCAATAAAAAAAAAGTTACGAATAAATCGCGAATGACATCTTCTCACGTGCATGTGATTGTAAATTCAGACATTCAGTAGTTAAAAAAAAAAAATAGAACTCAGAAAACCGACCTTCTTCGATGAAAACCGAGAGCCCAAAATCGGTAGCCTTAATGGGCGCATCGTCCTCCCGACTCGCCAGCAAGAAATTCTCCGGCTTCAAATCCCGATGCATAACCCCCATGAAATGACACACGTGAACCACGTTCACGATCTGCCTAATCACCCTCGCCGCCTCCTTCTCCGAGTAGCTCCCCTTGGCAATAATCCGGTCAAAAAGCTCGCCGCCGGAGCAGAGCTCCATGACCAAATGCACATCCTGCCTGTCCTCGTACGCTCCCCTGAACTCGACGATGTTGGGCTGGCCGGTGAGGTGCTGGAGGATCAGAATCTCCCTCCGCACGTCCTCGATGTCCTTCTTGTTGACCAGCTTCCGGCGGGATATTGACTTGCAGGCGAAGTTCCGGCCGGTGGATTTCTCGGTGCAGAGGTAGGTGATGCCGAACTGGCCGCGGCCGAGCTCCCGGCCGATGTCGTAGAGGGACGAAACGTCGGCGTATGGCTTGTTGAGGATGGGGCCGATTTGGGGTTGTGGGAAGGAGGAGGAAGAGGGTGGTTTGGGGATGGGTTGGGAGAATTGAGATGATGAGGGGTATTTTGGGGGTTTTGATTTGATGGTGGGAGGAGGGGAGGGGGAAGGGGAAGAGGAAGAGGAGATTGGGATGTCATGAGACTTGCTTCTTGTGAAACAAAGTCCCATGTTTTTTTTTTTTTTTTGGGTTTGGGTGGAGGGTGTTTTTGGGGTTGTGAGATGGAAAGACCTAACATATAAGGAAGAGAGGGGTAGGTGTTTAAATTGTGATGTGAATTTTGGTCATAGGTGTGGGTAGAGTTGTAAGTCTGACCCTAGATACTATTAATTTAGCTGGTCTGGTTTGATTCGATTCTGAGTGTTGAGATGTGTATGTTTGGTTACGGTGTTAATTTAGGGTTGGGCCATCATTTGGCCCTGTAAGTATCGATAGGTCACAATTTAAGGGGGTAGCGGTTCGATTTGTGGATTGAACCAGAAGACTTATAGAGTTTGTTAGGATGTTAAAAAAAAAGAATTTTAGGATTGTTTGAAGCATATTTTGTGTAATGAATTAGATCATGATCGGAGCAAATGGACATTAATGAAGTTCTGAGATGAAATAAGAGTTGATTTAGTCCACATATTGTATTGCGAGAGTAAAAAATGAACCGTATTTTCGTAACGTTTGATCACTGACTAAATGTGAAATTGGATAATACATGGGAGAGTTGGCTCAATCTAACAATTTGGGTTGGACCGAGTTGGTTTGTCGTTGATTGTGTTTTTGTGAGGAGGAAGAGTCCTTGTCAAGATAGACCTTTGGTTTTGGTTCCTTGCTTTTGCTTTGTGGACTGCGATGGGTATCATTCTGTGTGGTTGCTTTGTAACACAAAGTGGCTTTAGTATATGCCCATATCAGATAGCAATTTTAGGAAAAACAAAATTGAGCTGGCTATTATGGAGAAGAAGGGGTTGAAGCCTTGAAGGAAAGAATAATGGATTTTGGGGTGCCCAAATCATTAAGCCTTAATATTTTAGTTTGGTGCCTTTTGTTTGCATGTTTGCGAATTTCATTCATCCTTCTCGAGTTCTGACTTTTAATATTTTTCTTTATATAGTTAACTAAGTGGCAAATTAATAAAGTTTCATCAAATATTTCACGCCAACAAAATAAAATTCAACAAGCAATCACAATTGAATTAAACCGCGAGAAACAATCCGATTTTATGTGATATTTCTGAAATTCGAAGACTAATCCATAAACAAATTAGAGTCCTTCAAACTACGAGTTTTTCTATCACCTTTGTTGAGTTCCATAGCAAGATAAATAGTATCAATATATACAAGTGGAACCATATATAAATGGAGTTCAATATTTAATCCGCGGACTGTCCATGGGCTGCATGGACTAATTACACATTATTTATGGGCTTTTGGCTAATCAACTACTTGTGGACTATATACAAATTTATACTTATCGTTTAATAACATCCTCTAAATTGAGGTGCGACTATGGTGCCTTGCAAATCACTGTAACTTGTACAACTCGGTCGATCTATTCTTAACTGCAGTCGACCGAATCTCCTAAGGTGGTCACTCTAATTTTGTACAAATGACCAACAACAAAGAAGTGGTCAACCTGAAATATTATTAGGTCGACCTTAAAGACGTAAGTTGTCACTACCAAAACCAATTAGTCCGACCTTTGCTCTTCCTAAGTCGACTTATCTAGCAGAATAATACCAATTTACCAACAAAAATATGTGTAATACTACCACGAAAAATTGATAGGTCAACCAGACACATTGACCGGCCGACCTTTTAAGCACAACATAGCCTTACAAACAAAGCCAAATTCGATATTCTGGATAAACAAGCAAAACAAACAAAAACAGTCGACCATGATAAGAATTAGGTCGACCTATTGGGTTTGATCTTCCTTACCTCGCAAGTACAGAAGTCCGAGTGTTGTGCCCTAAATTCACTTTTTCGGGTGGTCTTCTGCATGCAACAAAATATCAAATTAAACGATGCAAATTACGAATTAGACAAGATGACGGCGAGAGCTAAAGGTCGACCCATTGAAACGAGCACTTCTACTATGCTATATAGCATCGGTGCTTTAATGTACAACTCAAAGTTGTACCATAACACTAAATGTATAAGTTTAGGTTGTACCATAAAGCAATTTGTGCCATTATGTTATGGTACAACTTTACAACTTGAAGTTGTACCATCACATAAAGGTACAAGTTCAAGTTGTACCATAAAAGAATTTGTACAAAAAGTATAGGTACAATTTGAAGTTGTACTATAACGTAAATGTACAATTTTAAGTTGTACCATAAAGACAAAAACCTATAGCACCAATACTATATAGCATTGTAAAATTTCTCCCTTAAAACACGTACAACATCAACCGCAAAGGATCTTCTTCTTCACAAAAGCTCTAACCGTACAAAAAACCAAATTCGGAGTTTCGGTGGCGGTGAAGGTGACATATATTCGTATTTATAGATATTTAGGACAAGATTGGGTCGAATTAAGTGGTATACAAGTTAGAGTCACCTTTCTGGTGTTGGAATCCTTATCCAATACGGATACGGTGTGCACATGATCGACCTCGTACTTGTCAAGTCGACCGTTTATACTATTTTCCTAAATAATCCCTACTTTGATGTTGATGAGTTAATGATTACAGATGTCGACCTTTTCACTTATGAGGGCGACCTTTTAATTGCAAAATGGTCGGTCTTTGAGATATTTAGGTCGACCTTTTATATTGTTCGCTTCCCAAAAAGGTCGACCATTTGCTGTAAAAGGTCAACCGCGTCGTTGAGTCTCACAAAACTGAAACAACAGATTAGGTCGACCTAAATCTATATGAGGTCGACATAAAAGTACAACTCGTAGAGAATGCTTGAGTAACAAGATCAACAATTTGTTCCTTTGTCCAAATATAGTGAAGAGTAACAGTACTATCCCTAATCAATTGCGAACACAGTGTACATGAATTTCATGTGCTTGATGTGATCAAGCAACACAGGATTATTAATGACAATGCGAATATCAATAGTAACTGTTGTCCACAAGGAGATCCATTGGAATCAAACAACTGAACAAGCCATACCAAAATTTGTCAACAAACGATGCAACCTGATTAGCTCATACATCATGTCAAACATTGCCTGATATCCAGCCTTTATGGAGGACTTGGATGCATTGGCAGGCTTTTTACATCGCCAATAAATAAGCTTACAAACTGAACACTTCACCTTCTAATTTATCAATGAGTATCGATGCAGCTAGCAATGTAAGAATCTTAATAAGCACATAGAGTAGCAGACACATTAGTTGGGGAAAAGATAGACCCACATTGCATGTTCCTTATTACAGATGTAGAAGAATAATATGAAAGACAAATATACAATCTACACAAAGAGCTGCAGACTGGTTAGTTACCAGCTAATAATATATGCCACTAAAGAGAATTAGCTACAACAGTATTGATGACACACATTTATGTACCACTATCAACCTATTGAGGTCATAAATCACTTTATCATAGCAAATGTCCTAGTCGAGTGAACATTTGATTTTGTAGATCGCTTTTGATGAGCACAAAGAGTAGGAGATTTTTCCAGAAATAGTACTGTTTAAAATAAAAATTCCAAAAATAGCACCCAACTCCGAAAAATTCCAAAAATAGCACCATTTCCAAAAAACCGCCACCCGTACCAGCGGTTTAGGCGAAAACCGCCCCCCGGGGGAGCAAAGAAATGTTCGTTTGAAGTTTCCACCTAGGTTAGGATTTTTCAAAAAAAAAGAAAAAAAACCAAAACCGCATGGTGGGGGTGTGGTTTGCAAACAAACCGCCATGACCCCGGTTTGCAAAACCGCCCCCTACCAGTGCGGTTTTCATCGAAAAACGCGCCCCCGGGTGGCAGTTTTCGCCTAAACCACTGGTACGGGTGGCGGTTTTTGGGAAAGGTTGCTATTTGGAATTTTTCGGAGTTGGGTCCTATTTTTGGAAAAAAAATTAAACAGTGCTATTTCTGGAAAAATCCCAAAGAGTAGGAACCTATGCAAAAAATCATAGATTCGGGTCTAAAGATAAACTTGATGATCCATTCGTCTTTTTAAATTGACAAAAAATGAATATGTATATCGAATCAACTCGTCATGTGACTTTTCGCGTCTTTACAAATGTGTGACTCATCTTTTAGAAGGAAAATTCCGAAGGAAATTCTCAAATGAACAAACTAAAACTAATTGAATAGTGACTTTTGGAACTAGCCTCTGATACCAAATGATAGAAACAAACTTTCTATCGGTTCTTTCGGATCGGGATTGGTGTTTGGGAATTAGGGATTGTAGAATGAGAGATTTAGGGATTAGAAGATAGAATGGGGGAAGAACTAGGGTAGAAAAGATAGAGATGGTCGGTGGCCTAAAGTTAGGGACAGACGAGAATTTGGGAGACAAGATATTAGGGTTGAGGAATACTTTTCTTATTAATCTTTGCTTAATCAAACAAAAGACCCAAAGTACATATTTATAGCTAAAGACCAGAAATGTGTAATAAACTATCTTAATTCGATTCAAAGACTTATTAATTATAAGAATTACCTAGTAATTGTAATAATAAATATAGAAACCGTAATGAAATAGGTTTCTAACAACTTTGGATACATTGTTTTGCTTTTTACATCGCCATGAAGTGAATCTCCAAACAAAACACAACACTTGTAGTTTATCGACGAGTATCAATACAGCTAGCAATGTAAGAATCATAATAAGCATGTAAAGTAGCATAAGCATTAGTTGGGCAAAATATACCAGCATCTACGGGTGGAAATCGGTATGGTATTGGTATCCCAATACCAAATACCGAAATCTCGAATACCGAATTACACCCTAAACTCAATCCCAATTCCAAACCCTAAATAATTACGGTATCCCAATCGGTATTATCGATTATGAAATTAATTACCTTTGTAATTAAAAATTAAATATATAAATGAGATTTTATTGTTTAATTTAGGGCAAAGAGACTAAGTAAAGAGTATTGAGTTTGCCTAGTGCTAAGATACGGATAAGGAAAATGGAGGAGATGTGACATCTCAAGTTCTTGTAATTGGTAATCTTTAATTTGACGAATTGGAGGTTGAGAGACGACTAATACTAGTGTTTGATTTTTTGTGTTATAAAAATAACAAGAGATATTAGATGAGAAACGAGAGTGACTTAAATTGAAAAGTCAAATTTGAGTTGGATGAGGACTTTTAAGTTGTGAAATAGTGATGGAATGAGCTATGTATAAATAAATGACACTCTTGGTAGTTGAGGGTCGTGTAGTAGTTAATGAGAAAGTCTATTGAGAGGATAAAATACATACTAGCTTATATTTCGGTATTGATCGGTATTTCGGTATATTACCGATCTCAATCCCGTAATCCCTTCATACCAAATAACAATTGAAATTCAATCTCAATCACAATTCCAAGAAATAATACATGCATTCGGTAATACCAAATATAGACAAATTCGGTACGGTATTCGGTATATCCCAAATATCCTCCCTACTAGCATCACATGTTCCTTATTTACAAATATCGAAGACTACAATGAATGACCAATATATTATCTACTTAAGTAACTGCAAATTTCTTAGTTAGCAGCTAATAGTATCTACGTTTAACATCTTCCACTAAAGAGAATTAGCAATAGTAGTATTGGTGACACACGTTTATATGTACCACTATTGACCTATTGAGGCCATAAATCACTTTACCACACAGCAAATGTCCTTAGTTGCTAAACGCCTAGTTTCTTGTAGTGAACATTCGATTTTGTAGATCGCTTCTGATGAGCGTAAAGAGTAAGAACCTGCGTGAAAAATCATAGATCCGAATTTAAAATAAACTCGTTGATCCATTTGATTTTTTAGACTGACAGAAAATAACCATATATATCGAATCAACCCGTTATATTGACTTTTCTTCTCTTATTACAAATGTGTGAACTCATCTTTTAGGTGAAAAATTTCGCAGGAAATTCTCAAATGAACAAACTAAAACTACCAGAATAGTGTGCTTTCTATAAAACCATATAAAGAGATAAAATTTGATCGAGCTAGATAGAAGAAACACAGGTGATAATTTGTACAAAAAGCCATAGACGAAAACCTAGCAAACAATAACAAAACACAAAGGTGATAATTTGTGCAGAAAGCCATACACGAAACCTAGTGAATAATAACTAAACACAAAAGTTGTAAAATACAGAGGGATGAAAGAAGGGTTTGAAACTTTCCCACTTGCACTTGGAAGAGTGTGAGAGCCAGTAATGAATAGGTTTTTATATATCAATTATATATCAATATCAATGTGTAACGTCTCTATTTTATCTTGTTTTGAAGGAAATTCTCAAATGAACAAACTAAATCTAATAGAATAATGTGCTTCTTAAAATCAAATGAAGAGAGAAAATTTGATCTAGCCAGGGAGGAGACACACAGGGATGAAGATCCTTAATTGCCATTAATTAAACACTACCCATGTACACCAAAGAGATCCTTCTTTCTCTTAGTCAAGAAAGATACAGACATGCTCCAACCCCAGAAGGCCGGCTCTGCTATTCCAAACCAGAAATTAGAACAAATATTAAAGCGGGAACATCAAGGTAATTAGCAAACGCAGCTGGAATTAACCTTAAAACATCATTTATCTCCCTCTCTCTCTCTCTCTGTTTTCTTTCTCAGCCAACCGAGCCCACAGCGTGATCCTCCACCACCCTCACACACTTTGGATGCAGCTCATACCCGCAATCCAAACACTGGTACGCCCAACCCAGCCCTTGCTCCTCGCAATTGCAGCATATGAACGGCCCGCCGCCGGTCTCCTGCGACACCAGCGTCAGCTCGTGCCGGTGCCCTCCGTGGAGCTTCGTCCTCGGCAGGTTCTTCGCCTCCTCGTCCATCTGCTTCTCAAGGAACTCCACCTTCGAATCCGTAAACGGGAACGCGTTCTCCTGGTACAGGTTGATCAGGCTCCTCCCGTTCGTCGTGATAGTCTTGCCGTCGGGCCCGAGGATCACGAGGCAGGGGATCCCCTGCACGTCGAAGTGCTTCGCGAGCGTCTTGATGTTCGAGTCCCCGAAGGGGAGCGCGAGCCACGGCATCTGGGCGTAGTACGAGGCGAACGACGATTCGTCGCGATCGTTCGACACGAACACGATCTCGAAGTTGTCGTTCTCGTGGTGGTTCGACTTGATCTTGTGGTAGATCGGGATGAGCTTCGGGGTGAATTTCTCGCAGGGCAAGCACCATTGAGCCGAGAAGTAGAGCCCGATCGTTTTGCCTACCAGCGACGCTACTGGCACCTGCAGCAAACCACACACACACCAGACGTTGTATTTTAAAACGCGCCCTGATCCAATTTTCCCGCCAATTCACTACCTCAAACAAAAAATCAAAACCAGAGGGAGAGATAGAGAGATAGATATCAAACTTCAACTAGCCAATGGAAAACTTTTGTTTTACCTGTCTCGCTCCATGGTGACTCAGAACATAGTCTCTATTGTGATTGGTCAACAAATTAACGAGCGTCTGGCTGTCGTGCTTCTCCTTCTCCTCCCTCTCCAGCTGCTCCAGCCTCTGCTTGGTGAACGGGAACGCGTTCATGCCGAATCGGTACAGCAATTCGACGCCGTTTCTGAGCGCCATTCCCTCGATGTCTTTCCCCGACCCGGGCTGCAGGATCACGAGGCAGGGGATCCCTTCGATCTCGAACTTTCGGGTCAGCGATTTCTTGGTCTCGAGGTCGGAGAAGGGGATCGAGAGCCAGGGCATCATGGCGCGGTAGCCGTCGAATGCGTTCGAGTCCTCGTCGCAGGAGATGAAGACGATCTCGAAATTGGACCCGTTGGTGAGCTTCAGCTGCTCGTAGGCGCCGATCAGGAATTGGTTGAAGTTTCGGCATGGCGGGTACCAGTTTGCTGAGAAGTATAGTGCCACTACTTTGCCTTCTAGGTCCGAGATCTTCACCTGCAAGAATGAATGAGCACGTTAAGATAAATTAGGATCAGTTAGCTAAATTAATAATCTCAAATTAGATGGTCAAATTGTCTACTGAACAATTAAGAAGTAAAAAAAAAAAAACAGTATGACCAATATCAAAGCCTCTCTCTTAGCTAAAATCAAAGTCTCTCCCAGCTATTTACAAATTGTACGACTAAACGTCGTTTTAGTTTTACTATAAACGTTCTAAGTTAAAACTACAAATTATTCTGACTTTTTTTGACAAAAAAGAAAAACAAATCATAACAAACATCCCTCCTCCTTCAAACTCGAAGTCCAATTTCCCTTTTTGTCTCGGTCACCATCATTCCTTTCTCCCGCCACCATCACTATAAATTCGATCTTGTTGGTGACAGTATATGGTCCACAATCGATGATCGATAGGTAGCGGCAGTAACAAAGATGGTGCTCTCTTTTTTTATTAGTAATTTTATTTTTCTACAAACAAAAATTATATAAAAGTATAAAGTTAATCTTATATTTCAGATAAGGGCGATCTAAGTGGAGTTAGGACGAGATTTAACAATCACTTTTACAAAATAAATAAAAACAAGAGCCAATAATATAAGAACACGTGGCTGGACAGCCTGGGCGAGTCTGGAAGCAAGCTTCACCCAAATATTGCCACGAACTCCGTTATGACAGAAGGAAACGCGCAGGGAGAAGTTGAAGGCCCAACAAGCAACCTTTTTTTTAGCACCGACAGGGAACCCAACAAGAATCTGAAAAGCCCAAAAATTTGGCCCCAAATTGGGAAAACGACAAAACCTATAAAAGGAACGATAGCAACGGGCCAACAAAAAGATTTCCGATATTTGGTGAGCTAGCGGTTGACGCGAGGACACGTGGGTGTACTTGTGACGTGAGTGTCTGCCTAAGAACAGATTTTGGGGGTTTGGGCAGAAGTAGGACGCGTGTACTTTTCGGCCCAGAATTTGGGCTGGCCTTTCCGGTCACGGAATCATAACTACGCCGAAACGTGTCCGCCGTATAAAGCCCATCATTCAAAAATCAAGTCATTTAAATCATTTTTAAGAAGAAAAAAAAAATCAAATTTATTGGAAAGTGGGTTTGGCCTGCCTTTAAATTCCCTGTTGCGACAAGATCCCTAATCATCAAAATTTAATGACACTAATTTTTTTTGGTCTTTTACATATTACCCCATAAGGAAAAGTCTACCCCTTAAGATTTCAAACGTATCTATGAATTGAATTCATAATATATATGAAAAATCGAAACTAGATCAAGCCTTTAGTTTACCCTTAGAAAATACTATCAATCATTCAATCTATTTATTTATTTATTATTATTATTATTATTCCAATAAATTAGTCCTTAATTATTGGCAAATACGGCCAAATTCAGCAATTAAAGCTTGCGTGTACTACCCATAATCTGGTCTATGATGGGATCGGATGAGAGGCATGCAGCTAGCCAGCCAAAAAAGTCCAATAAACAACACTAAGAGGATTATGCTAATTACTAATCAGTTTAAGACTACCTGAAAATCACATGATTAAAGCTACTAATCAATCCTGATCATTATTTTCCCCATTATTATATATCGACAAGAAGACTCGATCCATGACGGACACCTCATCAACTAATAATTAAAGCTTCATAATTATTTTTCAGGTGGAAGAAAGTTATTCATTCAATATAAATTTTCCCCCTAAAATGACAAAAGCAAATCCTACACGTGTATGGCCGTGGACGAGCTTTGGCCCGCCCCATCAGTTGGTTACTCACTTCCTCACCTAAATCTTTATAAAAGAAATTAATTTTTAACTCAAAATCTCAAAGGAAAAAAAAAATCCTCATCTCATCTTATGCACAAGAAGATGAAGGAAGAAGAAAAACCCACAGTTCTCCAATCGATAAATCGGTACGATTTTATCACGATATTAAATCGATTTTACGATCCTACTTCTGTTAATACATAGAGGCATTGATCTTCTAAACCATGCTCCTGAAAATTTTCTACAGATCCCACCAAGAGATTTGAGTATATGATCCTTTCTAAACAGAAAATTAATTAGACTGTTTATGAGCTGTACGGCGGATCATTCTCGAGGATAATCCAACGAGCAAATATGCTTCAATTAGTTATCTTAATTAGGGGTTGAAAAGAGGAAGAATCTCTCTTAATTCCCATTCTTCCTAGCACTACGTACGCCACCAGAATCCCGAAAGAAGATTCAATCGCAAACAGTTAATTATAGCTACTTAACTGTAGTACTTAGCGCAGTTGATCAAGATGCTGATAACAGTGATTTGCCAAGGAAGAGAAAGACAATTTTTTTTTTTGTTGAGCTTAATTAATTACCTGAGTTCCATCTAGGGAGAGGAGATAATCGCGGTCTTTAGAACCCAAGAGAGACGCTAATCTCGAGCTGGTCGGAGCCGCTGGTGAGTCGCCGGAGCCGTTCTCTTGGCCTGCCGCGGCGGCGGCGTTGAAGCTCACCTCTTGGACCTCCGCTCCCATCCTCATGATTTCTCTCTCTAGCTTGATTCTCTCTCTCTCTTACTCTTCTACTCTGTGTGGGTTTATTAATGGAGCAGAGTGGGTCTGCCTGCTGTCCTTGTACTCCAGTGCTTTTATATTCCACAGAAGCCGAAGGAAAAAAAGAATCCTATTCTGATCCACGTCATCTTCATTTCTTCAATATATATTCCTAGTATATTGTCATTTTTCTTATTTATTTTAAGTTGGATTTTTCTAATGCGCTTTCCTTACTTAGAGAGCTAATTTTTTAGTTTACTGATCTTATTTGGGGAAATGGGTTCAGTGGAAAAAAAAAATACAAAGAATTTGGGATTTTGTTAGTTTTGAGATGTGTATGCTGCTATTTAAGGAAAAGGGGGGAAAAAGGCTCACTTATGTGCCATTAGGACACATGTAAAGATAAGGGTTTGTTTGGATTCAATATTGTTGAGGTAGGAAGATGGTTGATATATCAGTGTATTTTACTACTTGTAGTTGTTGATGGATTGTCAACTAATGTAAATTTAGCTCTCTGTTTGGTTTTTTTCGATGGTTAAATTGATGTGTTGTGAATTTGTGATTCATATGTGTATTGTTGAATTTGGTTTATTGTATATTAAAATATTTGATATATGTGATTTTCTTTTCAATAATTAAAAATGAAAGTCATTTTTTAACGAGAATGACACTTATACTCCTTTACAATGCGAAAGGTAATTTATAAAAGTCAGATTTGGAAGAAAAAGGAAAGAAAACGATCTCAACCCAAAACTTAGATCATACAATCATTTGTTATGAATTATTGTTTCTGTTACATCAACTAATCACATATATTGTCTGTGCATAAAAAAAACATAAAACGACAAATTGTTAACGAATTGTATCAATCACATCCAAACAATACATAAACCAAAGGACCTTAATTACAAAAATTGATAATGATCATGAGTTTGGTATAGTATCCCCGGTCTCAAATAACATTTGCCTATTCCACAATCCTACTAGATTCCTAAGTACTTGAAAATTGTGTTGATATATCAGCTCATTTGCTTGCATTTTAGCTCATTCGAACGAATGACTAAGAATATATTCCACAATGCCAACACAAACAATCCTAAGTTAGAAAGAATACTAAATTTAAAATGCCACTTGTCATCTTATTGTAGGAGGATGATCAAAGACTAATAAAGTACGATTCTTAGAAAATTAGTTTTTTTTTTGTCAAAATCAAATGTCCCATGACAATATAGTTGTGATTCCAAATTATAAAATTGTACTACAAATTGTATCAAAATATTGATTAACTTCCATCAGATTTTTTTTGTCACCGTATCAAATAATTATATATATATATATATATTGACTAATTTCAACCCATAATTCATATTAATCAATTATCACCATATTTTACCGTCAAAACACAACTTATACCGTTATCGATAAATTAACCCCCCAATTCTCTTCTCCTTCCATTGCACGGAACGTCGGAGCCTTACAGTGAGTACATAACGAAATATTCCTTCCATTGTCAGTTTTCACGTTATAGGACATCATATAAGAAAATCCTTAAGACTTGTTGGGCAATTGCCAGTTTTCACCATTAGGAACCACTACCCAGCAATTCCAATTTTTTTCCCATGGTCCATGAAATCGTATCGTATTGGGGTTCAACAATAAAATATTAGTACCGGACGCTAACCGATAGACGGTATTCAACAGTACTAACATTTGAACTACGATTAAACCACAATTTTGACATAAAATACCCTAACGACAAATTTTCGGGTTAGATTTCATGCAACTATGTTTTTTTTTTCCATGAAGAAAGGCATCAGTGATCATTTCCCCAATCAAATACGACAAGACTGGAAACTTAGAAAGTTGAAACTTCACCACCCTACCGTCCCAAACTCCCAATTCCCACCTCCCCACACAAATAATGCAAACTTCACCAGCCGGCCCCCACTCTTCCACTCATAGATATTCAATGGACGGCTCAGATCTGTTCCCACCGCCACGCGTACAGTCGCATATGGTGCCAAGTAAGCTGCGGTTGCCGCCTGTCCGTATCGGATCATAACTGGCAGGCAGTCCCTGTGGGGGGCATGGCGGCCCTTCGCTATCATAGAAAGACCGAATTTAGAGGGCGTATGATAAAGGGTAAGCCTTATTTTAGGGGACACCTGTCCGACTTTATGATTGCGTTTCTGGCTTTTATTCTTTTTTTTTTCCTTTTTCTTTGGCGTGGAAAATACAATGGGCCTCTAATTGGGCCTACATAGGTCGTGTCACAGTGGCCCAGATCTTCTGTTCTTCTGATATCCAAGGAGTAGTTTGAAAGTTGCGATAGTTTTGTTGAAATTGTCATTATGCATGTATGGTTTACAATGCATCATTTTTTTGTTTTTAGCAGAAACAATACATGGATTGTTTCTGTGATGTGACAGAAACTATCACTCATTTTGAGTGATTGTTATATATCAACTTTTAGTTGTGATTGTTGAGATAGTTGAGATTGTTTTGTCTCAGCTTTTAGCTGATGCGACATACACAATCACACATACCAAACGTTGTATTCTACAATGCATCAAATTCGACAATACATTTATAGTATTATACATGCATTCTCAACAATACATTTATTTAACAATCGCAACTTCCAAACGACCCCTAATCGTGTGTTTCTTTTTTGGATTGATAAGATCTCTAATATAACGAAGGTAAATTCAATTTTTTTTCAATTTAACGAGAATTCATTTTTATAGTAAAAGGAGTTGGGAAGTCCTAATTATAAAAATAAATCTATGCAACTAACTTATGTAAATTCCGGTGGAGGAAGTTATTAGAGTTTACTCTCTATGTAAGCTAGCGCCTACCGAACATGGCTGTACCATTTCGGTCGAAAGGAAGTCCAGTGGGCCCAGATAAGGGCCATTGGCCCATTTGGCGCCTTCTCGTGATGCAGGCTCCGTTTTGGTCGCACGTCAAAAAAAAATTCTTTTTGAGGGCTTAGCTTGCATTTCTCTCTGTCTGCCATTTGGGGCATGTTTAAGAAGTGTACGTTTCTTATTCATGTTATACCTGCATACTGTTGTATCTGACGATAAGATTCTTGGAAGCCTCGAGAGATCTGCTCAATTATGTGGAATTTACATAAATCTGATGCAATCTCCGATTATGGTGGTCACATTCCATACAGAAGAAGAACATGCTCACAAGACATACAGTTGTTGTATCGCGCGTTAGATGTTATGTGGCCTATTAGATGGATGCGGATACGTGATGATATTGTACAAAATTATCACCACGTCCATTCAATGCGTTCCTGTGATGTGATCAAACAAGAATAGTATTGCAGTTTTGCAAACATGAACGATTAATCATCGGTATATAGCGAATGTAACTAAGAGATACTATTATTAAATTACACTAGTAGATATGTATTGCTTGCTTCTTTATCTTGGGAACTCCTAAACATGATGCATCAAGCCTTTTGGTAAAGACACGCGGCGAAATTTTGCTATGCCTTTCTTTGTTTCTATATGGGGCCTGGTTCTCCCTTTTCCAGGAATGGAGGAAGAGAAATGAAAGAAAAACACTCTTTAGGGTTCACATTAGGATCGTAAATCGTTTCATATATGCAATCGTCATGAGTCATGACTACATCGAAAGAAGAGATCTCATGAAGAATGTGATGTTTCTTTCATGAAGGATTTGAACTATTAATCGTGATATAATGAGGTTTGATGGTTGAGTCGTGACGCAAACGGGTTATTATCATATAAGTAAAATAATAATACTCGTATTAGAATACCCGAAGGATTAAATGTTGTTAAAGAGAATTATGAATGTTTCGATTGATGTTTTTGTAGCTAACCATTCTTGTAGTGGATGCTCCTTTAAGGTACTTAACTAGTTAAATCTAACTTAGTTTATTATAAAGACGGAGATTCTTCCTTCTTATTGGAGTATTTGTCTAATTTTGTAATTAGTTAATTCTCTGTTCTTAGTTTATGAAAGACTTTGTGCTCGAGTCCGTGTAATGATGGTGATTTCATGCATCTCATTTGAGTATAAAGATTTGTCCAAGTTTATATTCATTTGGTCAAACTGTGCATGCATGGTCAAATACAGTTATATAACGAAATTCAACCTCACGTATAAATTAATGGACTAGATGTAGTCTAGAAAATATCGTTCAATAAATAGTTGTTGTGTTCCAAGTAACATGTATTTTGGGGATTATTAGGGGGGAAAGGGAAATTGGAGGAAACGTTATGAAAATGATCTAAAGTGGGGTATTTCGAAGATAAGACTTCCACGGTCAAGTTCATCTTTCGTACGGACTAAATAATAATGATAGTCTTATTTTTGTTCTATGCTATGGTGTGTCATGATTAGGGCTGTTAGTGAGTCGAACCGAGTCGAGTTTTACCTTACTCACGAGCCGAACAAGGTAGAGCTCAAACTCGGCTCGTTTATTAACGAGCCTAGCTTTTTTTCAATCAAACGAACGAGCTTTTATTGAGTTCGAGACCGAGCCGCTCACGAATAGCGCGGCTCATTAACAGTCCTAGTCATGATACTGTAAGTGTGTGATGTACATCAGTTGTATTTCAGTGCTATCAAGACCGAGCCGGCCGGGCAGACCGCTAAAGCCGCCACCCGACCATAAAACCGGCTCGGACCAATCAATTAGTCGTTCCGGATTTCTACAGCGGCCGATGCGGTTAATCGCACGAGCCGACCACCCGGTTTCCCCCCATTCCGGCCGTTACGATTAATATAAAAAAAAACTGAAAATGAATGGCAAAATCATCGGGGATGGAAAAAACCCTAACAACAATTCACTTCATCTCCTTCCGTCCTTCGTCTCTTCGCGAACAGAGAGAGAAGAGCGGCGCCAAACCTGCCGCCATCGACTTCCCGCCGTCGATATCGTCGGCATCCCCAGGCGCATCAAACCAGCTCCCCGCTCGCCATACCCGTCGCCGTCGCCAGTAGCAGCTCCCTCCTCTCGCTTCGTCGTCGCTTCTCGTCCCGCTTCGTCGCCAGTAGAGCTTCCCGTCGGCGTCGTCCCCATCCCTATAGCATCTCCCCTGCTCCAGCCCATCCCAGAGCATCTCCCCTACTCCAACCCATCTCCCTGCTCTGGCCGTCTCACCTCCGCACCATGTGCCATCGGCGGTCTCTACTCCACAGCTCCTACCAGCATTTTCCAATCCGTCAGTACTCCGCAGCATCTCCCACCCGACGCGAGGTAAATTAAACATTTAATTGACTAATGGTGAAGTTGGTGAGACTGCTTCCACTGATTCAAATTATTAATTTAACATTGAACAAGAGGCCTTTGATTCAATTGTGAAGTTGGTGAGACTGGATTTTAGAACTTTTGGTACTCTTGTTTGAGATTATGAATATAAAAATGGCGCTCCTTCACGATACCGAACAAACACAACAGGCCAACGCTATCATGCTAAATAAATCTATACCATTACATGAAAACTACCAATATAAACAATTTATATCATTACAAAAGTCAAACAAATACCAAAACAACCAATACCACTACTACTATGAAATCAAAACAATACCATTGCATAAATAAATCAATACCATTAAACTAAAACTACCAATACAAACAATCTATAACATTACAAGAGTCAACCAATACCAAAATCAATCAATACCACTACTATTATGAAATTAAAACTGTTATGGGACAATCCAAGTACCACATCGGAAATACAAGGGAAGGAACCCTTGTATATAAGTGTCCACCTATCCCAATTAGTACGAGGCCTTTTGGGGAGGACACCCAAGAGTAAAATCGTGCGGGCTTGGCCCAAAGCGGACAATATCGTATTAATGAGCAGCCCGGTTATGACAAGTGGTATCAAAGCCTTTGGTTGCGGTTTTGGGAATTTGGCGCTGGACTGAAGTTTTGCTTTGTGGAGTTCGGTTGGATTTTGTTTGATAGTAAGAATGGCTTCTATCAGTATGAAGATTGCGAAGTTTACCGGAAGAAACAGTTTCAGTTTGTGGTAGATCAAGATGTAAGCATTGTTGAAACAACAGGGTTTGTGGGCTCCATTATCTGGAAAATCGAAGAAGGAAAGTATAGATGAAGAAGAATGGATCGTTTTGGAGGAGAAATCTCACTCTACAATCTTGCTTTGTTTGGCTGATGACATCATCACTGAGGTTGCTACTGAGAAGACTACCGCGAGCTTGTGGTTGAAGCTTGAAAGTCTATACATGACAAAATCTTTAACCAACAAGTTGCATATGAAGCAACGTTTGTTCAATTTGCTTATCGAGGAAGGTACATCTCTCAGGAATCATCTAGATCAACTCAATACTATCTTGTTAGATCTGCGGAATATTGATGTTAAAATAGATGATGAGGATGCTGCCTTAATTCTGTTAGTATCTTTGCCACGGTCGTATGAGAATTTTGTGGATTCTTTTATTGCTGGGAAAGATAGTTTGACTCTGGAAGATGTCAGATCTACTCTACATAATCAGTGGCGTAGCCAAGAATTATGCCAAGGTGGTGCAAAATAAAAAAGCATAACTTATATTAATTTTTTACAATGACCCACGACGTGTTTTCATAGTCTGAAAAGTATCTAAAATACATTTATCATCCAAACTATCAAGGATGTCACTCTCAATGTAACCAAACAAAAAATCATTCATGACGTCATCACTCTTTCTATTGCGAAGTGTGTTCTTCACATAGTTCATTGCAGAAAATGCTCTTTCAACGCTTGTCGTGGCAACAGGAAGCAACAATGCCAATTTCAGAAGTCGATAGACTAATGGAAACACCCGATGTTTCTTTGATGCAACCATTTCTCTAGAAAGTTCAGCAATTCTCTTTAATCCTGCAAACCTCTCAACTGTCTACATATCATATATATATATATAAGCATCAAGTTGATGAAGATCAAGATGTAAAATATCATCTTTGGAGAACTCAGTAGGATAAAAAGTAGCAAGCTTCACCAACTTGTCCTTGTCAAAGTCGACAAACAAATCGTCTGGATTTAAGCATGCCACACAACATAGCAAATATGTGTTTATCTCATCAAAGCGACTATTTAGCTCTTGTAACTGCATATCCACGGTTGTATAAAATAACTCAACCTTGTGGTGATGGAGATTGGTGATTTGCTGAGCATTTCTCCTTGGTCTCCCAAGTGGAAAGTATACATCATCCATGTTGACAATGGGAAGAGATTCCTTGTTGCAAAATGAAACCACACTATCAAGAAGAGAATCTCATCCTTTATCCCTCATTTCCTATAATCTAAACTTTGACCCACGAACAAGGTGCATAACATTCACTATGTTCTGGTCTTTCCTTTGCAAAGTTGAAGACAAATCACTGGTAATGGCAAGCACTTCAATCATCATTTTCATGATGAATACAAAATCAAAGTTTTGGACTAACCTCAACAAGCAAGATGCATCGGCTTTTGCATCAGAATTTCCCTCCCATTTGATGATATCCAAACACTCAATAACAGAAGAATATATCCTAGTCAAGTTAAGGAGAGAGTCAACGTGTGATCCCCAACGAGTATCACAAGGCCTTTTGAGGCCAACTTCTTGATTCAACCCTCGCCCAGTCTCAAGTTCACCATGATATAAATCCTCAACAACTTTAGCAGCTTGACGTTCTCGAATTTTGTCCATTCGCTTATACGATCCTCCAACCAAATTAATTAAGTCACTCACATCCTTAAAGAAGCCACCAATGTCACCATATTGTCTAGCAACTGCAACAAGAGTTAACTGAAGTTGATGAGCAAAACAATGAACATAATATGCTGATGAATTTTCAGCCAAAATCAAAGTCTTGAGTCCATTGATTTCCCCACTCATATTTCTTGCCCCATCATAGCCGTGTCCTCTTATTTTTGACAAGCTCAACCCATTTGTCACAAGCATATTCAATTTCCATCTTAAGAGTCAATGCTTTTGTATCTGCAACATGAGAAATCCCAAGAAACCTCTCCATCACATATCCTTCTTCATTTACATATCGCAACACAATAGCCATTTGCTCTTTGATTGATGTATCACGAGCTTCATCCACCAAAATAGAAAAAACATCATCACCAATGTCGCATATGATTTGCTTGGTTACGTCAGTTGCAATTGCATGTACAATATCCTTTTGTATGTCTGGAGAAGTCATTTGAAGGTTCTTGGGAGCATTTCTCAACACAACACGTTCCACATCTTCTCTACCACGAGCATGAAATTTCAGAAGTTCAATAAAATTTCCTCTTTTCTTTGAACACTCTGATTCATCATGTCCACGAAGTGCTTGCTTTTGACTACATTGGCGTGCACAATGTCTGATGCAGTCAATTGAAGCTTGCAAATGAATTTTATAATCCATCTTTGCTTGATCTGATTGTTTAAATAAAGAAACTCCAATGCTTTGAGACTGCTTCAACAAGTCCTCACATTTTCTCACAACTTTGTTGTGTTCACTATTGACATGTCCAACATGCTTCTCAAGACCCTCATCTCCTCTATTCCAAGCTCTAAAGCACTTAGAAATGAAAGAAGCACCTCCACCCTTCTTACCATCATCGCTCCTAAACAAATAGCAATGCAAACAATATGCAACATCCTTTGCAATACTATATTCCAACCAATGATATTTTTTTGTACCAAAAAAACTTAAAGCTTCGCAAGGTTCCCCCTATATCTCTAGATGGAAAAGCATGATCAGGTTGACAAACACATTTTTGAAGACAATGTCTTCTAATCATATCTTTAACATTAGAATGAAATAGTGCTACTTGTTCTCTTAACCCCGGATCAGCTTTCAAAGAGTTCACATCAAGTTCATTCTCTCTAGACGCAATGCTATTCATAGAGTGATTTACCGAGAGAGGTTGTGACACTGATGGCGTAGAAGGAGTTGAATTGGAATCCTGTCCAGGTGCTAATGAATTCAATCCACGATCTTCACCTTTAGGAGCATTCATGGTTATTTGAGGCTTCTTTGGATAATATCTTTCCATAATAGCAAATCTACAAATTCAAAACCAAAGTGCACAATAAATCATTTATTTGTTCTAAAGCAGTAAATCAAATAGGATATTTGACACATAATCAAATAATAAACCAAAAATATGCTCTCAACCAATGAATCAATTCTCTGTTCTAGTTTCCCAATCCATACAGCCAACTCTAAAACCTAATTCTCAATAACTAAACTAAAACCAACTCAAGACATGAAAGTCAATCAAAGTTAAGAAAGCAGGGACGAGCACCCCAAGCCCAACGAATGGATACACCACACAGCAGTTGATTTTTATAGTCGGCTAAACAACTTATTGTCGATTTCGAAAGCTCAAAGAACACTCACCAATGAGAGGAATTGTAGTCGAAATCGGAGTTGAAGATAGAGACTACGCAAGATACGATGGTTGACGATGGTCACTCGAGCAACCAGCGGAGGAATGAACGAGTTGAGGGAGGAGGTTGCGCCATTTTAGGCTTCGAATGGGGAAATAGACGAGGTCGTTTAAATTTAAGTAAACTAACATGTTACAGAAAGATAAAAAAAAGTTAAATGCTAATAATGACACGACAAGGAGTAAGTCGCGTGATGGCTAAAGCAGTTTGCGGATTAAGGGAGGTCACTAGTTTGAAACTTCATTCCAGCAGTTGTAATAAGTATATTTTTTAGCTGGGCCTTGCCAGCCCAAGGGGGTGCAGCCAACCTCCTTTGGGTGGCTGTGGCTCCACCACTGTACATAATAGAGAGGTTCGACATAAGGCGTCTGGCGGATCAAGATAATCGATGAGAAGAGGACACGAAGTTTGTGGTCCTTGGCTTGATGGTTCTGTTCGCACCTTGAACAATGTTAGGCATATTCCCGAGATGACTAAGAATCTGATATCTTTGAGTCTACTCGACGACAAGGGTTTCAGTTTCAAAGGTGAAGGTGGAGTGTTATCTGTCTACAAGGGTTCTAAGATGATTTTGAAAGGTGTCAAGGTTGGTGCCTTGTATGGTCTACAAGGTTGTGTTTTGACATGTTCTGTTGGTGATAAGTGCACCAAGCTGGTTCTGAATCGCAACTCTCAACGTGGGTTGGATTTGCGGAATGTTTTGGTTTGTTGACCGCACTTTGGGGCATTTGGAAGTAGGGGAGATTCTGGTACAACTGATTTGGAGGAGTTTGGTACATCTGGCAACTTTGGTTGCGTCTGGTACATCTGGTATTTGACAGAGAATTCAAGTCAAGGTGGAGATTGTCAGGATATGACTTGAATTTGATTTGGGTTTGTTTGGTGTTTTGAGCCTATTTTGTTTGGGTTTGTGTTTGGGCTTTGTTTTGGCATTTTCCTTTATAGGTTAGGAAAATGTGTTTGGTTTTCTTTTTGGGATTAGGAGAAGAGTTCTATGAATACTCCTCATCACCCTAGTCTGTAGTAAGGTCAGTTAGGTTAGTTTGTTTGGTTTGTCTGTTCCGGAATTTGGTTTGTAACCTGTACTCTCCTCAAAGCAGTGAAATTTGTTCTCCCCTGCCCGTAGATTAGCTAGCACAAATTGTGTAAGTGAACCACGTTAAATTTGTGTTTGTTCGTGTTGATTTTGATTATCGATTGCACACTTCTGTTCTGACAAAAACAATACCATTGCATAAATAAATCAATACCATTATGAAAAACAAACTATACCCTTTCATAAAACAAAACAATGAACCAATACTAAAACAAAAAATTACCAAATCTAGAGAGATAGGGAGGGAAGGAGACCATCATCATCTCACCCCTCCACCATAAGCGTTTTAGAGAGAGAGAGAGAGACCGCACCGGTGGTCGGGGGTAGCCAGAGGGGACGATGGTCGTTGCGGTGGACGAGGGTGGCCGAGGGGAGGGGCTGGTGTAGATGGAAGAATTGGGAATTCCGCAACTTTAAAAAGAAGGATTTTTTGGGGCTACCTTACTTGGATTTTCGATCAAGTTTTATGCCGCGTGGGATTAGTGCGACGGAGTGGTGGGGACGGCTGCGGCAGGTTTAGCTGGAAGGAGGGTAGAACTAAGGTTTGAGTGGATTATATAGAATAATCGGGTATGGTCACTTATTCATTTCCAATATTACCCTAAAAGAATCTTGACCATAAAATTTTTAAAAAAGGAAAAATATAAAATCCAATGTTATGTAAAGAAGTTTACACCGTAATTACTAAAAAACAAGTAATCACCCTAACGTGCTAACATATTCCCATCTTCTAATGATCTACCGGTGATTTTTGGCAAATCATCAAAACAAAGAAATTAGCAAATTATGTTTTTTTGTTTTGTCATGATTAATTGATGCAACGCAATCATTAACAACCATGGTGTGGACATAACACGAACAAACGGACACGTGGAGAAGAACGGGCGATCGAACTTAGTGGCTAGAGCTGTAAACAACTATGGGAGTGTTTGGCTTAAATACGGAAAAAACTTTCATAATCACGAGATTAAGCGACTGGGGCCCACCAGTCTGTCAACAAGACGAGATAGCCCCACGTGTCCTCTCATAGTGCCATTGTGTTCTGTAACCCAACAAAAACAAAAGGCTGCAGCCACTAGATAAGCTCGATCTCTCCCTCTTTTTATCCAGACTCCACCACGCAACAGCTGGTGGGCCGGGAGACCGAGCCCGCGGTTTGAGGTAAAGTCAGCTTCAGTTGGGCCCGTCCAGACGCTAGCTGTTATCGTGTTTTTTGTGGTAATTGATGTGCCCAATAAGGTACTGGTGGTGGGCCTGCATCGGTTGTTTTCACAACCAGAACCAGTACTGAAGGATCAATAAGTGGATTAGTTCATGAAGATCTTTTTTTTTGGTTGAGTCCAGGAGAGGGTAATACGTCGAATCGATATGTCAAATAGGTAGGGCTGAAAATTGGCCCGACCCGCTCCTGGCCTTGTTTTGATCTTGTTTTATTTGCACTTGAAGGGTCAAGATGTATAACTGACATGTTTCGCCACTGTTTTTTTCATGATCTTGTCTGACTCTTTAGGGTCGGGGCGGGTCAGGAAGGGTCGGGTCAATGGGTCGACCCTAATAAATACACTACTTTTCTAAAAATTGTCTGACTCTTTAGGGTCGGGGCGGGTCAGGAAGGGTCGGGTCAATGGGTCGACCCTAATAAATACACTACTTTTCTAAAAATTATAATTTGATATCCAAATTTATTAATTCTTTAGTACCTAAAATTTATTTTTTTACAAATAAGTCCCAAATATTTGATGGTAAAATTACATTTTGGTACCCAAATTTTGTTTTTTACAATTTAGTTCCTGAACTTTTAAAACTCTACAAATAGGTGCCACGTGTATGTATGATGTTAAGGGTCATAGGGTCGAAAAGTGACCCGATCCTACCCGATCCTGACTCGACCCGAAGCTGACACGACCCAAAGCTGACCCTGTAGACAAATAGACCTAGACTCGGTATCACTCGATCGATTGAATTATTTTTTTCATAATTTAAGGAAGTTTGGAATGGTTTTCTAGTTGATTGAGTGTTGAGTTCATGAGTTACATCCAATTCGTAAATAACTGGGTCGAGTGCGTGTTGAGAGGATGTTAATTTTATTTTTAATTCTTGTGACGTGCAGTGAACCAATTCATAAAATCAAGTAAAGAGAGTAAGAGATACGCGGATCGATTCAGTTGTTTTGGTAGTAGATCACACTTTAGCTTGGACGAGTCTTCAATTAGTTTGTTAAAAGTACCAATGTAACGATGAGACTATTTTGCAAATTAGCCCCCATAATTTTATGATGATCTAGACATTTGAGTTTTGACCTTTAAGAAATCTCAGCAAGCAGTCAACACTCAACACCCAACCCATAAACTTGTATGGTTAACATTTACCAATAGACAATAGTCATATGGGCTTGCTAGTCACTCGTGCAGATCTAGTGGTCCAAAAGATCACAACTCACAAGGAAATCTAGAAAACGAAACTAGAGATGGGAAAGCTAGCCAGATGGCTACAACTTATTAAAGGACACTAGTACATTACCATAAATAATCGATACGCCTGATGGCCGTGATATTGAAAGAAAGCCAGGTGGCACCAGCCCATTTGCTAGTTGGCGGAAGATCTTTGTTTCAATGTCAGCTAGCAAGCCTTGTTTCCATATTTGATATTACGTGGCAAGTGAATTTATTATTAATTAGGAGAACTAGCTGGCTGAGATGCTGACCTGGACAATACAGCGATGCACGGCTGGAGGCCTGGAATAGTTCCTTCCATTAATTACCGCTAGGTAGCACTTAATTTTCCATAGAACTCGCGTGGAAAACAAGTAAATTCGAAGCGAAAAGAGTTGCCGGAAATGCGTGTGACGGGTTGGGTTAACGATGACCTGGATTTCGGCTGGCTGTGTAGTTGGGTTAATGATGTCCATCAAGTGGGTAATTAATTATGGATGCATTAATTAGGATTTCAAAGTCGGCAACAAATGCGTAATACGAACATATTTACTACGGTAAATTCGGGAATATTCGAAATGACAGTTGACAGATACCAAACCCGCAAGTAAATTTGAACCGTATATATTATAATGCATGTTTTGTGGTAGAAAGTGTGGGCGAGTAATTATGTGGAAATGGAATGCAACTCGCAGAAAATAGAAAAAAGAACATTAAAACTGAATGGGTCACAATGGTCAGTTGACCTATAATTTCTTCTCAGCCGGACTTGGTGCCTTAGCGTGACGTTCTTTTGGTTGATTGATAAATTCAGAGCGATGGTCTGGACGGCAGATTGTTAAAATGAATGGACTGATGAATAGTCTAATTTATTCCGCATTCCACTTAATTTTTTATTATTTTATCATTACAAATTTATCAGACGCAATTTGATCAACTTGGTATCTAGTTGATTTATCACTAACCCCGTCTCATCGATTTGATACTTTACGGCTTGCCACCTTGTCGGTAAGTTCGTCTTATTAGATTTGGTACTTTGGGTGCCATACTTAACCTTTGTAAGTTATGTTTCACCCTACTAAGTTCGTCACATACACATTACCCTTCGAGCTAGTCATTCAGTTTGTGTCATCAACTTGATACATTATCGCCCTGCTGGCTTGCCACCGAACTTGTCTTATCGCAACTTGTCATCAAATTCGTTTACAAAAGTCCATCTTATCAACTTGGTACTCTATCTCCTCTTCTGTCCCAATGTAAATTGATCTTATAAATTCATTAGATCTCTTTACGGTACAATATCACAATGGAAAAAATATAATATAAATGCAATGATATTGCAGCGTGCATGGAGGCCTGTGGACCAACCAAATGGCGCACCTGAAATTAAAAGTCAACTACAATTGCCAACGCATGCAGCGGTGAGCAGCTGGTTTTTCTTCTTCTTCTTCTGAGTTGACTGTGCTGTTGTAGTTGTATATTCACCGCTAATCGAATCCGAAAAGGGATTTGATGATCTGTGCACCGCCCAAACACCCTGCCTTTCCATCCATGCAAATGCATGCACGCTTTCCACATTATTACCACCACCAACCTCTACTAACACTGTTCGTTCGTTTCCTGTGCATCCAATGCTTTTTATTTTTAACCGTAGATATATATTTTCCTCTGCTTTTATTAATTTGGTACTGCTACCTCCCCCGGTATATATTGTTAGTGTTGCGGTATATGATTCACGATTGAACCTCTTCTAACAACTCGAGTTATTGAGATCAACTGGTTCTTGACATATATATTCTTCTCGACAACACTCCCATAAATACATTTTTTTTAAAATTTGCCATTAATAGCTACATGGAATGGGAAATCTTAATTAAATCTTCCCTCCCTCAGTTATGGCCTCCTCCTGTATTGATTTCGTTGCGCGCATCAATCTTCCCTTTCTTCCACAACACTTGTTTCCAAGAGCATCTACACGTCTAGCTTTGTAGTACTACTAAGTACTACTGACCATCATTAATTGCAAATGTATATTGATAATGACCGGACTCGATCGGCCAGACCTAACTGGTAATGGGTTTCGGCCGAAATGTAGAGCGTGATTTGATCTGTTCCGTCCACGTTTTTTTGGTTTTTGTCGTCGGTTCGTAGAGTTTCTAATGAAATCGTAACAAAAAAAAGTCATAATCTCAAAACTGATTATGAGATGTATCGATTCCTGACGTTAATTATACTTTGATCAAGCAGCTTGATGTTGTCAAGAACCAATTGATCCCAATAACTCGAGTTGTTGAGAGAGGTTCAATCGTAGATCATATACCATTCACTGACATATGTATAATGAAAAGCGTTGCTTGTTGCTTAAAAAATGTTGACTTTCTTTCAGTTTCATGATTGATTTCTTAATTCAATGCATGTAGCTTTCGCTTTTTAAGTATTTTTCTCAATACAAGTGTTTGAAGTTAAGAACAAGCTAGCTTCTTTTATGCGTTGTATATGAAAGGTTTGAACTCAAAAGTGTACTCATCCATATGTAGTGCTCCATTATGCACGAAGTCGAAAGCAAAAGGGGAACTAAACACTTGATTCAAAGCATCAGCAACCTCTCTAGTTCTCTTCGGCCGCGACAAATCCTAGAAAACAATGGAGAAAGTTATGGAAGGGTGGTGGGGAAGCAACCAAACTCCAGCAGAAAACCGGCAAACCGCACTCCTTATTGGTTTCTTGTAACAATTACCCCACGCTTCCTTTCGAATTATTGCTTGCTTCGGTTCCATTCCAATACCCTAAATTACAAATTATTCTATCACTAATTTTTTCGGTGTAGCTTTGGTACGATTTCACAATCATTGCGCAAAAGCCGTCACAACCAGGCTACAAATGGGCCCCAAGGAAAACAAGACCTGCTACTCTCTCTCAGCTGCTAAGCAGAGGATTCACCTGATCACCAAATTCGCTCCCGCAACTACTCTGCCTAGCTAGCTCTCCTTTTTTTCATTGCAGAAACTAAATCATTCAATTTAAAAAAAACACACACAATCTAGAAATTCTACTAACTAGTAACTACAAATAAATTAATTTTCATTTAACACTAAGAAAGAAGTAAAATAAAAAATAAAAATAAAAGAGGAGAAGAAAGAAGAGAATGGAATCGGAAAATCTATCATATGAATTTGTACAACAAAAGAAGAGAGAAAAAGAAAAACCCTACAGAATTAAAACTACTCCCACGATCTCCCCGATACTAATTTCAAAATTCAAACAGGACTGTCATTATCGCCTTCTACTTCCCCTTCTCCGCCGATCAGGCGTTGGCGGTCGATTTTGCCGCGGCAGACGGGGCAGAACGGGTGCTTCGAGAGCCACTTGTCGGCGCAATCGATGTGGAATCCGTGATTGCAGACCGGAATCCGCCGCGCGATTTGCTCCGGCTCGATCTCGTCGAGGCAGACGGCGCATTCGTCCCCCATCGTGAGCTCCTTCCCGGTGACCTTGGGGAGGTTTTCGAGCTCGTCGGCGGAGAGGCCTTTTTTGGCAGGGGGCTTCAAATCGTCGTTGGCCGGCGGGGGATTGATGGGTGGATTGGAGGCGAACCAGAGGAGGCAAATGTAGACGACGAACAGAGCGCTCATCCCGGCGCAGGGGAGGAACAGGGCGAGGAATACGGAGAGAAGCATCCCGCCGTTTTGATTGGCGGCCGCGGCGGAGGGGGGAGGGGAGGGAGAAGAGGGGTTTAGTGAGGGAGAGGGTGCGTATAGCGCGACATGGCGCATTATAGGGAGAGAGGCTTTTTTTTTCTGGGGAGGAAAGGAAGGAAAAGGGGTGTGTGATAGCAGTGATGAATAGAAAGAGGAGGTGGTTGTGATGTTGGTGGTGGTGGAAAGTTGACGTGGCCTCCGAGTCTGGGGCCCGCTTTTGATTTTTTTTTCTCTTCCCTTCTTCCTTCCGGTGAAAGTATTTCTGTGTGGCTATTTATAGGTTGATTTTTCTGATACTATTTTACAATTTTTGATTTATAGTCGATAATAAATCGAGTTTGATAACGATTCGGTTGATATTCAAGGTTATGATGGAATTAGACCGGGTATAATTTACATTTGATTTATACAAATTTTCTTGAGACCTAGTAAAAAATGTATATCGAACCAAAGTCATTTTTAGTGTCTAAGACTCACTTAGTCTTTTAATTTTGTTTCGATTCAAACCGGTTTGAACCGAACCTAAGGCGAAAGGTGGCTAGATTCTTTGATTGAGTTTTCCATTTCTACGAGCCTGGTTATGGACTGGTTTTCATATTTTGGGCCTGAGGGGGGAAGGGGGACTGGGGGAGGCAAAGTGTAGTAATTGCCAATTTTGGTACACGGGACGTTCCTTTGTGTTTTTATGTTTTAACTTAGCTGTTTCTTAATGTATTTGTGGGATGCAAATCACACAATAGAGTGCAATGTATTTTCATTAATTGGGAAAGATTTGTTGGTGTTGGGTTGGCACTGAAAGGGATGGAGATTCTTTGAACAAGGGTTTTCATTTATTGTGTGTGTATGGAGAAAAAAAAAAAGTTTAGTATTTACTTTCGCCCTTTCTCTCGCTCCTCTTCATTAAGAATTCCAACTGCATGGCCGTTTGACTTTGGGATCATAAATTGATGTACAAATCGGATGGCTGTGACTGAAAAGAGAAAAACAGGTATGAAGAACGTTTTGGACGTACGTAATTCAGTGACGCGTTTGTTTTTATGTTTCAGAGTTTGAGCATCGGTTATATTGCAACAACAACAACAGGTGGCGTGTCGTCGCTTCCCTTCTCGGCTTTATTAATTTTGTCGCGACATCTCTTGGGAATCAAATCCCACTTTTCTTTTATTTCCCACTCGGAGTCAGATCGTTAATATCAATGTACACTCATCTAAAATAAAATAAAAATTAGTACGCCTGTCTTTCCTCTTTCAAAATCTATGGTATTGGTCACTCGTACGACGAGCAACGTCGTTCACGACTATTCTGTTGAAAAATCAGATTTGTTATTGTATACTTGATTAACTACAAGATTAAGATGGTCCATTCTTAGGTCAAACATTTTGAGAACAACATTCACTCGACAAGTCAAAAGGGTAATCAAAATGTACACTTGAATCGACTGCCATGCCATCACCATTAAGATGATCCATTCTTTCTTTTTTGATCATAAGATGATCCATTCTTTCTTTTTTGATCATAAGATGATCCATTCTTTCACTATTTATTCCTGTGTGTTTCTTGGAAGGGAAGCCAAGCATAGGTTTAAGTTTTGGACGCGTTTCGTGGGTGTCAAGCAAACGAAGGAGGGGAGAAGTGTTGTTGCCAGCAAGCAGTCTATTAATAATATTCGCTGTCGTCTTAGTTCTTACATGCTGAAACTAATTTTTCTTCCTTAAGCAGAGACTTCTTTCTCACTTTCTTTCACAGTCGTGCTTTTGTTCCCTTAATGTTGATTCCTTACCTATAAACTACAAAGTACAAATATGGGGAAATTGACCCTTCAGTTATTTTTTTTCTTTGTTTTGGGTCATTGAGGGGTGCCTAGGCTGTCGTTGAAAATGACTGTAGTGATAGTGGGCTCTATGTTGATTCCTACCTGGGAATAGAAATTGTTATCTCTATGGTGTTATGTTAATTCTACTCTTCCCCTTTTTCTTTTTCATACCTAACTTTTAAAAAGAATCAATTATTGTATTCAATTAGGGGTTGTTTGGATCAATGATTTGGGTATCAAATTTAGTACGAATGAAAATGGGTCAAGTAAAATACCTGGATGCAATAAAGAAAAAAAAAAGTCAAATTCATGGAATCTACGAAATTTGAAAATCCAACATAAATTGGTGAGATTCGAGAGACGAGACAAAATATTTGATGCTAGATCACTATTATATCCTCATAAAATTTATTTATTTTATATTTGTTCTCATTACTCATTTTTCTTTCTCAATGAAACCGATCATTTTTCTTTCATATTTGTTCTAATTACAAAGTAATCCCTTAATTAAGCTAAGTGAATAAATAAGGGATTACAACACGCCCTCTCAAGCGAAGGAATGAATGTCAAGAAGACCGAGCTTGACCAGCAAATGAGTAAACTGATCAACACTGAGTCCCTTGGTGAAAAGATCGGCAGGTTGCTCGGACGTGGCCACCTTGCAAGCAACGACATCACCAGAATGCACACGTTCCCGAACAAAGTAGTAGTCCATCTCCACATGCTTGGTACGCTCATGGAAGACCAGATTGGCAGCAATATGGAGAGCAGCTTGATTGTCGCAGTAAAGAGGCGTGGGAGAAGAGAGCTGAACAACCAGGTCACAGGGAAGCCAACGCAACCAGATGACTTCACTAATAGTACTGGCCATAGCCCGGTATTCAGCATCTGCGGAAGAGCGAGCAACAACAGACTGTTTCTTAGTCCGCCAAGAAACAGGAGAGGAACCAAGAGTAATAAAGTAACCTATAGTAGAACGCCTGGTGGTTGGGCATCCAGCCCAATCAGCATCACAATGTGCAGTTAAAGAGAGATCACCAACAACCGGGAGGAAAAGACCACGACCAGGTGAGGCCTTGAGATAGCGAAGGACACGGACGACAGTGTCAACGTGTGCTTGAGTAGGAGACTGAACAGCCTGACTGAGCATATTAATCGCATATGTGATATCCAGACGAGTAACAGTGAGGTAGAGGAGACGACCAACTAGGGGCCGGTAAGAAGTCGGATCCTTATCTGGAGAAGACGGGTCGTGGCCAAGATGATGGTTGGGAGTAATGGGAGTAGGACTGGGGCGACTAACAGTAAGGCCAGCCTCCTCGAGAATGTCGAGAACATATTTCCGCTGATTCAAGACCATGCCACGAGGAGAACGAGCAACCTCGATGCCGAGAAAGTACTTCAAAGGACCCAAATCTTAGATGGTGAAGCGGTCATGCAAAAAATCCTTGACCCGCTGGATAAAAGTCATATCATTCCCAGTGAGAATAACGTCATCCACATAAATGAGAGCAGCAACAAATGTGGAGCCGCGACGATAGGTGAACAAGGAGTGATCCGCCCGACTCTGAGTAAACTGCAAGCCAAGTAGGGCACTGGTGAATTTCAGATACCAGTTACAAGAAGCCTGCTTAAGACCATAGATGGATTTGCGAAGATGACACACTCTGATCTCGCCGGGACTGGCAAATCCCTGAGGAATCTGCATATAGACTTCTTCCTCTAAGTCACCATGGAGAAAGGCATTGTTGACATCGAGCCGATGAATGATCCACCCCTGCTTGACAGCAACAGAAAGCAAACACCGGACGGTGACAAGTTAGGCGACAGGAGCGAAGGTGTCATGGTAATCGACGCCTTCGATATGGGTGAAGCCCTTTGCCACAAGACGAGCCTTAAAATGTTCCACTGAACCGTCAGGTTTGAACTTGACTTTGTAAACCCATTTAGAAGCAATAGCACGCTTGCCAGGGGGCAAAGCACAAAGAGTCCACGTACCATTTGCCGTGAGGGCCGTAAACGCAACCTGCATGGCGTCCCGCCAATGCTTATAGCGAACGGCCTGATGATAGAAGCGCGGTTCCTCAACAGCACTAAAGGCAGTGAAAAAGGCATGATGCGCCTGAGAGAGACGATGATAAGTAAGATATTCTTCAATGGGATAGTCCACGGAAGCATTGTGAACACGGCCAGGAAGATCAACGTCATACCCCGCCAGCCGAATGGAGATTTGGCACTAGCGGTCGCTATGACGGGGTTGTGGGGGAGAGGGATGAACTGGGCTGATCGGCTGGGAGGTAGACGCTGTTGTGGGAGGAGACTGCGGATGCGAAATGGAAGGGAAAGTAGCTGGGGAGGGAGTGGGTGGCGTACAGGTCTCGACCGGGACGCGAGGAGGGCCAGGAGGCGTCTGAAATGGAGAAGGTGCATGGGCAGGAGCAACGTCGGGCATGACAGTGTGGGGAACAGTAGGCCGAGTGGAAAGCTCGGTGTCATTATCATCACAAATGGGAGGAGTAAAACCCACGAGGAGAGAAAGAGTGGTACCTACGGTCGATGGAGTGGGAACTGAAGAGGTGTGGTAAGGGAACAATGATTCCAAGAATTTAACATCATGAGATGTATAAATCTTCTTAGTTGCCAAGTCGTAAATGCGATATCCACGCTGGCCAAATGGATAGCCAACAAAAATTCCAGCTCGACCACGGTCACTAAACTTGTCCTAACCATGATGATTATCCCGAGCATAAACAAGGCACCCAAAACTGCGAAGGTGGTGATAAGATGGATCTTTGTCGAAATGTAACTGGTAAGGAGATCGATTGCCAATGGGTGACAAGGGTATGTGATTGAGGAGATACGCTGCAGTAAGAACGCACTCACCCCAAAAGTGAATACGTAAATTAGCATGGAACCGGAGAGCCCTAACTGTCTCCAAAAGATGTCGGTGTTTGCGTTCCACAACTCCGTTTTGCTGAGGAGTGTCAGAGCAGGAAGTCTGAAGAGTAATCCCGGCCTCCTCATAATAATCTTTCAACGTAGAAGTAGCAAATTCAAGACCATTATCAGCCTGAATACGCTGAACCTGCTTCCCAAACTGCGTAGTAACCATACGACAAAAGTATAATAGATACTGTGCAACCTCAGACTTGAATATTAATCGAAAAACCCAAACTGCCCGACTATAATCGTCAACAATTGTAAAAAAATAACGACCACCAGTATGAGAAGGGACATGATAACCGCCCCAGATGTCTAGGTGAATAAGCTCAAAACAGGACTGAGTTTTAATAGAACTGTTATAAACGCGCTGCTACGGATCGGGAAATCGCCGGAATCGACAAAGCAAGAATACGAAAGCGAGAATCGAAAACACGACACACGATTTACGTGGTTCACTAACACGATGTGTGTTAGCTACGTCCACGGGCGAGAGAGAGTCACTTTCACTATATCGAGGAGATTACAGATTACAGAGGAGTATGAGAAGTATTTATAGTACTTCTCCATGTGGGTCTAAACCTAATCCAATCTGGCAAAGGAAACGGTTACAGACCAGGCCCAGAACCTGAACCCAAATAACATTGAGCCCATACACCGTGGGCTGGGGGCGATGCCCCCGCACCCCCACTGGGGCGTTGCCCCTGGACCCCACTCGCTGACCGGGCAGCGAGACCCCCGATTACCAGTCGTAGCGGCTGATAGTCCGATTCAAGTCATATCAACAAGAACTATGCTCAAAAGAGTCACGAGCTTGCTTGGCCCGGAGACAGGAAGAACATGGGTCCTGCGGTTGCACAAGAGGACTCGGAATCAAATGCTGCAAAAGAGTAAGTCGGCCCGGGGAAGGATGCCCCAGACGGGCGTGCCAGAGAGCTTAACTGTCCACTGCTTGACGAACCGAATGAGCCACCGAATGTTTGCCATCAAACAACTGGAGATAGTACAGCCTATTAACATGCTTACCCATCCCAATTAGCTTCTTGGAGGGTAAGTCCTGAATAACACAGAAATTACTCATGAAAACCAAAGCCACTGGAAGATCAGCAGTCAGTCGACTAACAGAGAGTAAATTGCACTGGAATGCTAGAACGTGAAGAACTCGCTGCAAAGTCAGGTCATGTGATAATTTTTTTGAACCAATATGATGTACTGGAACACCAAATCCATTGGGAATGCGAACCTGTAAGGCCAGGGGGGCGTCCCGACTCATTAAACAACAGGGATTTATCATTAACGATATGTTCTTTACACCCAGTGTCTATAACCCATGACGATTGAGGAGAGAAACTCGTACCTGCGGCATCGAGTCGAGGACACCTGCTGCTGGAAAGGCATCGAGTCGAGGACACCTACTGCCGGAAAGAAGGCGCTGGTGTTCATCATTCATCACCAGATGATAAGCTTCAGCAAAGCTGGGAATAGGCTTCATGGCCAAAATCTGAGTTTTTACAGTAGCAAAGGCATCATCTAAACCCATTAAAAAATCAAATAAACGTTCACTTTCCTTGGCTTCCAGTTGACGGCGCTTGACATTGCAGGTACACCCGCCACAGGAACATTCAAGAGAGAGTGCGATAGAGGTGATTTCGTCCCAAGAGCTGCGAAGCTTTGTGTAAAAGGAGGCTACCGAAGACTTCTCTTGCTGGAGAGAAAGAATAGATTGCAGCAACTCATATAGGCGAGGCACGCTTCCACGCCCAAATCGGGCCTGCAAATCGAGCCATATTTCCCGCGCCGTTTTAGCAAAATGAACGCTGCTGCGAACATCTTTAGACATGGCCGTCTTGAGCCAACCTTTAACCATAGCGTCACATTGCTTCCATAGGTCAAACTCTTTGCCCCCTGAAGTCGGTTTGACGATAGTGCCGTCAATGAAACCAAGTTTATTTTTGGCTATGAGAGAGTTGGTGATGTCGCCCAACCATTCTCCGTAATTGGTCTCCGTGAGGAGCTCGCCAACAAAAAGCTGGCCGGAATTGTCCGACTAATGGATGGTGAACGGCGACGGGACGGTAGGACCATTGCTACTCGCCGACGCAGGAATCGCAGACATGAGCGTGGTCGTGCCATGACCTGATACGCCTTCTACGTCCCTCATGATGAAAAGAAGATTATTGTAGGATCACAGCTCTGATACCATGTAGAATTCCGTGATAACGAAAACAAAAGAACACGAACAATAGCGATTTACGTGCTTTCCCCGTCCAGTGATGGACGAGACTACTCCACGGAGAATGAGAGCTCTCAGGATTATTATTATGATGAAGTGTTTGGCTTAGGGTTTTCAAAGAACCCGTCGGCCTAAATAAGAAGAGCCGTACCCTCACAACTGAGCTACACGGGTAGGCTAATTACAAAGTAATTCGGAAAAAATCCCAAAGTACACTAGTTTTTAAAAAAAATTCCCAAAATACATTAGTTATAAAAAAAATTCCAAAACTACACATGTTTGAGCATCACCGTTTTTGTCTAAAACGGTGAAGGTCATCACCGCGTTTGACAAACACGGTGAGTACTTCACCGTTTTAAACTAAAACGGTGAAGGCTTCACCGTTTTTGTGGGCCGCGGTGAAGTGCTGACGTGGACAGCACGGGGTATTCACCGCGTTAGACAAACACGGTGAATAACCCGTGTTTGTTTACGTCAGCAATCCGCGCCAATGTGCTTTCACCGTGGCCGTTAGATGCGGTGAGACGCGGATCGTGGTTTTCTTCCCACGATCCGACGCCTCGCAGCACGCCACGTCACCATGCATTCACCGCGTTTGGGTAAAACGGTGAGTTCACCGCGTTCATCAAACGCGGTGAATGGATGGTGAAATAACTGCGCAGCAGCTCCTCCCCCCTTCCCCCAAACTATAAATACCCCCTTCCCCTTTCACTTTCAACTCACCCCACAAACATTTCACTTCTTTCTCCCTCAATTTATCCGCTCTAGTCTCGTTCTAAGTATGCTCTGTGGTTGCGGCTAAGTCCGATCTTCCACATCAGAAAGAATTACTAGAGTTTGACCCTAAAGCCCCCGTCCCGCTAAGTTCCCGTCCCTTACAAAGCTAAACCCGTCGAACCTCTGTCCGGCTTCCGCCAATAATGGACGAAGAGGCTCTTCGTGTAGGTTTTTGGTTTGTGATTTTTTTTAATCGAAACAATTTGATTTATTTTTTATCAAAACAATCTCTGATTATATTACTTTTTTATAGATGGGTGCCGAGATATACGATCCTCGATTGTATATCCATTATGGCCCAAGGGATGCGAGTCTCTTAACCGATCAAGAAATGCATCGCTCCCGTGCCATTTGGGATAACAATCCGGTAATTTGATGAACTGACTTGCTTTATTTTATTATTTTCTAATGTTTTATTTTGCTTTATTTAATCTAATTAATTGATGTTTTTCCTATTTTTTTAGGAATCTCTTGTTCCCGTGGTTCATAAAGGGACCAATAACTTGCCCGCTTGGCATCCAAGGTTGGAGCCCTATATAGCGAGGACCGGTTTGGGAATGTTGCGCCATTTCTTGCGGATCGAGATCGACAACGAGCTGCTTACGGCAATGGCGGAACGATGGCGTCCCGAAACCCATACATTCCACCTTGCGGAGGGGGAAATGACGATCACCCTCAAAGACGTGGCGATCCTCACCGGGCTTCCTATATCTGGAGATGCCATCATTGGGAACACGACCAAACCCGGAGGAGGTTGGGGGCCGCTCATCCGTGATCGTTTGGGCTTCGACATGCCGACCACCACACCAAATCAAGGACGGGGGCATCCACCGTTGAATGCGGGGCAAGTGTCGGTCCCGTGGCTGGTATCTCACATCCAGCAAGAGGTGGAAATCAATGACGAGACACCGGAAGAACAAGTCGAGCGCTACGCCCACATCTACCTCATCGGTTTGGTGGGTGGATTTTTGTTCCCCGACAAGTCCAACCGGTGGATTCAAGGCATATGGTTGCCATTGCTCACCGGTGACTGGGATGCAATTGGAGAGAAGAGTTGGGGATCGGCCGTGCTAGCGGGCGTATACCGGGAGCTGTGTACTTGCTCGAGGGTTGGGGCAAAGCAAGCTGGTGCTGCGATGTTCATCGTTCAACTGTGGGTATGGGAGCATCTTCCAATGTTCGCACCTCTCGACCCACGTCCATACCGGAGAAACGATGATGAGCTCAACCTTCTGCAAAATCTCCCCTACGGTGTCAAGTAAGTTTATTCCGTACTTAGCCCAATTTAAATTTTATTACATGCTTGAGCTAGATTTAAATTGAATTTATTCCGTACTTAGCCCAATTTAAATTTTATTACATGCTTGAGCTAGATTTAAATTGAATTTATTCCGTACTTAGCCCAATTTAAATTTTATTACATGCTTGAGCTAGATTTAAATTGAATTTATTCCGTACTTAGCCCAATTTAAATTTTATTACATGCTTGAGCTAGATTTAAATTGAATTTATTCCGTACTTAGCCCAATTTAAATTTTATTACATGCTTGAGCTAGATTTAAATTGAATTTATTCCGTACTTAGCCCAATTTAACTTTTTATTACATGCTTGAGCTAGATTTAAATTGAATTTAAATTGATTCCGTACTTTTACTTACAAGGTGGATAGGAGCAAATACGAATGACCATCAGCCTGAGCATTCGTTACTGTTTTATCGTTCTGAGTTAGATAAACCATGGTGGAATCAGGTAATCATGTTTTGTCCATATTTGAACAAGATCAATTTTATCAAATTAAATGGTCGTTAATTCCGAACTTTTGTGATTTTAGGTTATATGGGATCCATATCCACGTGAAGTGGTTGAGCTGCATCATCTTAGGCACCCTCTGGATCACGAGACGTGGTTGTGCAAGGTGCCATTGATCTGTTGGCACATTGTGGAATGGCACCTACCCGATCGATCTCTGAGGCAGTATCGAATGGAGCAACCAATTCCACAAGACCCGCCAGCAGGTTTCAGGGAGCTACATGCTATGGACCTCCGAAACAATGCAAACTGGACGCTAAAGCATGGATTCTACATCAACATCTGGGAGAATCGATCCCAATGGGTGGTGCAAGGGATGCCGGAGACGAGACCGATGGGCTACCACGATGGGTACATGCAGTGGTATCGGAAGTTCACCCTGAGATGGGTGTCAAAGCAAGGTGCTGTGATGGGTTCGGTGGTAAGTCATCCTAATCTCCCTCATTCTTAAATATATTTATTTTAATGTTTAGTTAATTTGATATATTTTGTGCTTTCCTTAGGTTGATGGTTTGGAACACGCGAAGTACACTCTCGAAAGTGCTCCAAC